TTTTCTTTTTTGTTAATTTCATGTAATTTGAATAATGGTCAAACGTTGCGTATTAATTAAATTAGGATTAAAGGTTGGTGCTTTTGGCGTTTGCTGAAACTTGCGTCGTCAAGTACTGGATGACCGGTGACACTTACAGGGATGTTGAAGAGCAAAATAATGTTGAACTGAATGTCATGCCAAGCCAGCAGGTAGACTCAATTTACGGATTTGAAATCGTTAATAATGATTTTTTCAAAAGGTTTCTCGCGAGACGGCAATTCCAAGATCACGCATTCAAGCAATCAAATATGATCATCGTTCACGCGTTGCATTTCCTGTCACATTTTGTGCATTTTCAATCATAATTTTTCTTATATATCTCCATTATCACATTCCTTTTTAAATATGAAAACTCGAAACTTACGTCATTAGATTAGTACAAGCAACAAGCAACCTTATATTATACAAATATATAAGAGAGGGGGAAGCATGGCCGCTGACAGACGTTCGCTGCAGCGGCTGCTGCTATTTCTGTGTTTTTCAGCGGTTATCCGGCTGCCATCATCCGGAAACCATGACCAGAGTCAGCGTGAATGGTCCCAGACGGGACACCGGCAATCGGACGGCGCGGACGGCGCCTCTTCTGTCCGGGGGCCGGCTTTTCCCGTCTGGCAATTGCTCGCCCATTATGGTTGCTTTCAAGGACGAACCAGCCGAGCGGCGAGGAGGAGAATCGCGCGTCGGGGCTGCGGCCTTGACGTGCACGAACCTGCAAAATTCCTGCTGCTGCCTCACGGTTTGTTGACAACTCGCTCGCCAACTAGCTGCTTCGTCGCCAAACTGTCTGAAGAGGTAGGAAACGGAAAGACAATTCTGATTATTTTTCTCGGCACCGGTCTCTATCTGACTCTTCTACTGCTCGCCATGGGCGACATCGAGAGCAACCCTGGCCCTTTGAATGAGGACGATAAGGCCTTCTTTCTGTCAGCTCTCGACACCCAGCTTAACGACAAATTAAAGTTTACAAACGACTCTATCGGAGAGCTTAAAACATCAATGGAGGTACTGGTGGCGAAAGTGGAGGCGGAGGCTGAGAAAGTTAAAACGCTACAATCGGAAAATGTTAAACTGTCGGCCCGAGTCACCCTTCTGGAAAATCGTTTGGCCTCGCACGAATCCGATCTGCGACGGAAAAACTTGGTGGTTTTTGGCATGCCTACTGCTACCAATTTGCAGAGCGCCGTCGGTGATCTTCTCTTCAGCAAGTTGAAGCTGCCAAACCGTCCGCAGGACGAGCTGCTCGAGGCCTCTTTCAGGATCGGCAAAGAGGACGCCGCAAAACGCCCAGTCATTCTCAAATTTAAAACTGATCAAGCCAAATTTTCAGTCATGAAAAACGTCGCTAATCTGAAAGGAACGGGCATTGTCGTGTCCGATGACCTAACACCAGAGGAACGAAAGGTCAGGCGGAAGCTGGTCGAGGCCCACAAGACTGCTAGAAAGCTCGGAGTCCAGTCGAAATTGCGCCGCCGGGGTCTTGAGCTCAATGGGCACGAGATTTCGGCTGCCGAGGTGGCCAAGGAGGGCTGGCTCCGCAAGTATGTGCCGCAGTTCCACCAGCAGCAACAGATGGATGGTGAGAGTGAGGGGTCCAGCACAGATGCCGGAGACGGTCGACCCAAGCAGAAGAGGAACAAAAGGAACCGAGCTGTAGCCTTACTCTCACCCAACGAGCAGCCCTCCGAGCCCCAAGCCGGCGGGTCCCAACAGGGTTTTGCCCCAGCCCCTCTCAACAGCAAGTCCAACAGCAAGGACAAGGAGGCAAAAAAAACCCAGAGGGGCACGTCGACGAGGAGCTTGGACAGGCTGCGATCGGCCAACAGGAACCCAGGGTCGGACTCAGATGTGAACAGCCAAAACTAAAACTTGTAAGTGAAGTGATACGCTTTTTTTGTGATAAGAAAAAAAAACCGGAAAATTATTTAAAAGTTATTAGTATAAATGCTCAGTCACTCGCGGACTTGGATCATATGCGTTTGCTCCGAACAAATTTATCTTTGCAAATTGTTGATGTTGTTTGTATATCCGAAACGTGGCTTAAAGATAAACATAATATTGATAAAAGGTATGCAATTGAAGGATATAAATTAATTAGGCACGACAGAAAAGAAACTCGTGGCGGTGGTGTAGCTTTTTACATAAAACGCAATTTAAAGTTTAAAGTGGTTTGCGCCTCTTCGGAGAGTAAAAATAATTCGGCAGAGTTTTTAATGGTGGAAGCTCAAATTTTAAATGAAAAGATTTTGCTTGTGGCCGTCTACAGAAGGCCATCACCAGAAGTAAACTTTGATGATCTTTTTAGCGAGCTGCAAAATACTTATGTTCAATACGATAATTGTGTTCTGCTCGGAGACTTTAACTGCAATTTTAAAGTTAATTCGAATCTTCTCAATAATTTAGAGTCACATATTAAACAGCTTGGCATTCAAAGGCTTCCTATTGAAAACACGCACATTTCTTACAACGCAGTAACAACAATTGATGCCATAATGGTTTCTCCAGAAATAGTTTATGCAGGCTTTGGAAAATTGTTCAATATGCTGTCACACCATCAAATGCTTTATGTTATTATTGAAGGTGAGCTTCCAGAAAGTATGAGTGAATTTAAACACATCCGTGAGTTTGGTAAAATTGATCGTAACTTGTTAAGCACTGAAGCGTTTAAAATAAGTTGGCACGAGGAAGTTGAAAATATATCACTTGAAGCGAGAGTTGAATCTTTTAACAAAAAAATTGTTTCGCTGTTTGACCAAGTAGCACCAAAGAAAAAAATTAAAATAATGAAAAAATTTAAGCCCTCATTTCCATCTGGTGTGAAAGCGTTGATTAAAGACCGGGATAAGGCGAGAAGAAAGGCAGAATCAGATCACAATATTATTTCATTTAATTTGTTTAAATCGCTGAGAAACCAAGTTAAACAAAAAATTTTGAATTTCCAGAAATCAGTGATTTTTGACAGTTTAAATCAAATCTCAGGAACTAAGCATATGTGGAGTAAGTTGCGAGGATTAGGCTTGGTGAAAGATAAATCCAGAGTTGCCGAGCTCGTCCTAAGTTCTGACGAGCTTGTAAATGATTTGACCGTGAAAAGACCCTCTAATATTTTGAACAAAATTGTTAAAAATTTCTCAATCCCTCGCAAAATTTCAGGCGATAAATTTTATTTTAAACATGTAACCCCATTGGAAGTGAAATTAGCGCTGAGAAGTATAAAGTCACCCTCTGAAGGGACCGACAATATTTGTAACAAAATGCTGCTCATGACTATTGATGTAATTCTGCCATCTCTCACGTTTATTATTAACTCTGCGCTGCAAACATCATATTTCCCAGCTATTTGGAAAAAAGCTATTTTGATGCCTCTGCCAAAAGTTCGTAGCCCCGCTAGTAGTTCTGATTTCCGGCCAATTAGCTTGCTGTGCGTTGTTTCAAAAATTTTGGAAAAAATTGTTTTTGATCAAATGATGGAATTTTTATTAAAAAATGAGGTCCTTGATAGGCTTCAATCTGGATTTCGGAAATTGCGTAGCACGACAACGGCTCTGTTATAAATTGCTGAGGATTTGAGAATTTCAATGTTTAAAAATGAAGTAACGCTAATGGTTTTTCTTGATTTCTCAAAAGCATTTGATTTGGTTGACCATGGTCTTTTGTTGAGTAAACTAAATCAATTGAATTTTTCCGCACCTGTTTTGCGTTTCTTTGAAAGTTATCTATCAGGCCGTCAGCATGCAATTAAAAACAGTGATGGTAGTTTTTCTCAATGGATGAATATTGAATGCGGCGTGCCCCAGGGTTCAGTTCTTGGGCCACTTCTTTTTTCTCTGTACACGCACGATTTATCGGCAGTGTTAAAGGATAGGTGCAAGTACCATGTTTATGCGGACGACACTCAGCTTTATCTTAGCTGCCTGTCGAATAATGTAAACGAGTGTGTTAAGATTATGAACGAAGTATTAAGAGATGTTGTGTATTGGTCAGAAGCGAATGGACTTAAACTCAACCCGAGTAAATCACAAGCTATGTTTGTATGCTCAGAACGAAATAATTCTAAAATTTCCGCGATGCTAAGTGAAAAATTATATTTAAATGATGTTGAGTTAAATTTTGTGCAAGAAGCGAAAAACCTTGGAATTATGTTTGATAAGAACTTGTCTTGGAATGCGCAAGTGTCCAGAATATCGCAAAAAGTTTACGGCACTTTAAAAAGTATTGAAAAATTCAGAAATGTAACCCCTGAAAAAGTTCGAGTGAGACTTGTTAAAAGCTTGATTCTGCCGCACTTCGATTACTGTGACATAGTTTACTGTAATTTGACAGCCTCGCAAATTAACAAATTGCAAGTACTACAAAATCATTTAATCAGGTACATTTTTGATGTAAAGATCGGCCAAAATTTATCACCCTTGTATAAAAAATGTGAAATACTGAAAATCGCGGATAGGCATAAATTGAAAATTTTAGTTCAGACACACAAAATCTTGTATAAAAATAGTCCAGAGTACTTGAACGACTACGTTACTACAATGTATGATGTAAATTTGCTCGGGCGCACGAGAGCGCACCGAATGAAATTGCTCGCACCGTTTGTTAGTGTGGAGGTACCGGAAAACTGTTTTCAAGTTCAATGCTATAGGCTTTGGAATGAGTTACCATCAAATCTATGTTTGAACGAAAATGTTAATTTTTTTAAATCAGTACTGAAAAAGCAATATTTTGAGCAATATTAATGTTTTCTCTCTCTCTTGTTTTAAAATTTTTGTTTTGCATTTATTTGGATGAGTTCATGTATGGGGCATAGTTGCCCTAATTTCGAACCCAATAAACACTTCTTGAAACTATTATTGACTCGAATAAAAAAACCAACAAATAAAAATAGAAATTTTTTATGCTTCATAGCAAGGTTTATGTTAAGTTGTTTGATTTTTTTTAATGAAATATTTGTTTTTTTATTGACAAATCCAAAGCTGCTATTCAAGTTTTCCCATTATGGTTACAAATTTTGTTATATAATATGTTTTAACATATTTAGGCTAAATTTTTTGTCCTTTTATTAATAGTAAAAAATGAGCGATATCATTTTCTCACGAGAAGTTTTTAAAAAAAAAATCATTATCAATTAATTTAGCGTTCCCAATGAATATTACCTCATTATTTGTATACTAAAGAACTCTAAAAATCTTAAAAATCCATGGCAAATACCAACAAATTTTCAATTCAGTCTACTTTACATGAGAATTTAATTGAAAACAAAAAAACAACAATAACAACATTTATGCTTCTACTGAACAAAAAATATTTATAAACATTCTTTCGTTTACAAAATAAATTTTATTACTAAGCGTCGTTTGCACCGGTTTGCACATCGTTTAATTAACTCCAGTCTGTTGGGTGATCCAGTTGCGATAATAGGCAACTCGGTTGTACACGGTGGGATAGCCCGGGATGGCGCAACCGTCAGACCAAGACACCAAACCAACCACCACACCGTCCACAAACAGAGGTCCGCCGCTGTCACCCTTTTTCATTTTTTGTTGATAAGTCATAAAAATAAATATAATTGTTTACATTGCAAGCACCAATATTTCCGTCAGGAAAGTCTGCGCAAATTTGTCCAGGGTAGACGTCATAACCAATGCCATTGTAGACAGTCTGGCAGAGCTTTTGGTCTCTGATTTCAACCACTAACTCCTTCAACTCTGCGCTCAATGCACCCCCATCCTAATAATTCATTTTGATTTTCAATAAAAACAATATTAAGATAAATTTAATGAAACGATATTAAAATTATAAATTTTTATTATTAACATAATAAGGATTTAAAAATAAAAACGTAAATTTTTTAGTCATGGATCCATGAAAATTGAAAATTCCTTTTAATGATAGCAATCATTAATTGATAATGCTTGTCAAAATACGAATTTTTAATTAAAACTTAATATCTTTCATACTCAAAGAAATCTAATGATTCAAAAATTCAAATATAATTCTTTAAACGCTGGAACTGAAATTAAACTTCACAATATAAACATACAGCACTATACTATACCCTATACAAGTCACATATAAATATGTGAGATCTAAAATAAATAATAAAATTATTTTTGTCTTACTTCAATTTGCCCCCATCCAATAACTGTAGCCGCAGTACCGACGGCAGGTTCGTCGCCCTGATTGGGAAGGGCGATCGGCTGCACATACGGTCCATAGACAAAGGGGGGCTCAACCTTTTAAGATAAAAATTTTATTGATATTATTCAAATTCTTCAAAGAATTCCTTCTTAAAACCTCAAGGATGGCAATATCGTTATTGAAAGAGTCCAGGGCGTCAAAGTTCTCATGCATGATGACCCTGGTGACCTGATGGCGAGTTCCTTCACTTAAATTTACACTGCCCGACCTGACGCTCAAAACGGCTGCTGAGAGGCTGGGTATAAAATTGTTAAAATCGTAGAGAATTTGAAAATAACCTTATGCAAATAATTTATTTCCATACTAAACCAAGCGGCTTAAAAACCAATAATACTCAAGCAACATAATTATATAAAGAGAAGATGTTGTTTATTTGACAATATTAAACCGCGCTTGATGTAAGTGTCGATTTGCAGGTCTGCTAGTTTTCATCCCCAATAAAATTGAATTGGGTTACATGTATCTGTTTGAAAAATCATTTGATAAATTGAAATAAATTTTTCGCAGCCACATCAATAATAGCTGTTTACAGAGAAAAACGTTATAATTAAGTTCGCTCAAAAATAAATATATAAATATAAGAATGATAAATTAATAATAGTAATAATGTTTTTTTTTTATTAATAATTAAGTAACGTAATTTCTAAAAATATAATATTTGTTTTTAAAAAAACTATATATAAATGTTAAAATGTTAAATTTGAACCATTTAATTTTTCTCACCCGTCAACACAGTGCGATGCAGTGAGGACAAAAGTTTCGCTGATTATGGAGGCTCCACATATATGCCAAACCAAATATTGCAGAGTTAACTGCCACGATGAGAAAGAGTAATGCTTAAATGTTCTTTTCGTGACTATCTTACCTGGCTTGGATATTCTCCTTGATCAGCGTTTCCTCCGCCAATGATGCGACCCTCAAAAGCCTGCAAAGGGCGTCTGACAATGCCAGCTGCAAAATCATTAATAATTTCTCATTTTTTTTTCATTTGTCGAAACATACCAAATGCTGATGTGGCCAGAACAGCAAGGAGCACAAATCTTAGCATGTTGAATTGCTTTAAATCAATGGCCAAGTTTTCAAAAGGTTTTTCTTATAATATGAATATGCGTCAATCAAAAAAGATAAGAGGCGCGGGAATTCTTGCAGCAATTAAGATAATATTGTGCCTTTTGTTAAATCTTGCAGAAATTTGAAGAAACCAACTAAAAACACACTTTAATCTACAATTTTAGTTGTACCCAAGTCAAAAACATTTTGGCACCTTTATAATAGTTCACCTTTCTTTGCAATAAAAACCCATATAAACAAATTTTCAAAACAAGTCAGATTTGATTTTGTTATTCACAAGAAAATTTAATTGAAAACAAAATCTATTAATTTATTATGCTTCTGAATATAGGGAAATAAAAATAACATAAATTCTTTACTTCACAACTTTAATTCGGCATCGTTTAATTAAACTCCAGTCTGTTGGTTGATCCAGTCGCGATAATAGGCAACTCTGTTGTACACTGTGGGATAACCCGGGGTAGCGCAACCGCTGGCCCAAGAGACCAATCCCACCACCACTCCATCCACAAGCAGAGGCCCGCCGCTGTCACCCTATTTTTGAATTTTTTTTACATATATTTTGCATATTTTGTGGAAAAAATCGGATTAAAATTTCTTACATTGCAAGATCCCAAGTTTCCTTCTGGAACGTCAGCGCAAATTTGTCCAGGGTAGACGTCATAACCAATGCCATTGTAGACAGACTGGCAGAGCGTTTGGTCTCTGATTTCAATCACAACCTCCTTCAACGCGGTGCTCAAAGATCCACCATTCTATTTATTAATTTTTATGATTAGTAAAATATCATAATAAATAATATTAATTTTTTATAATTTTAAATAATATTTATTTTCATACAAAATAGGGTCAGAAAAATAAATTTTTTGAGACTGGAATCATGTCACTTGAATTAAAAATTATAATTACAACATCTCATTTATAAACCAAAATTTAGTCAATGATTCGTCACCCACTTTGAATTTTAAATTAAAATTTTCACTTATTAAAAGATTCTTGAATTAATTAATTAATTAAATTGCATCTCTATCAACTTTAAATAAAAACACCACAAACAAACATCAAACACTGCTAATCTTAACAATTTACTTTACACACACATGTAAACTAAAATTATGAATATTTTTTATTACCGCAATTCGCCCCCATCCAATAACCGTGGCCGCAGAACCGACGGCAGGTTCGTCGCCCTGATTGGGAAGGGTGATGGGCTGCTCATTGGGTCCATAGACAAAGGGGGTCGCGACCTTTGAAAAAAATAATAATTTCAAATTTCCAAAGAATGTTTTCATCAAAACCTCAAGAATGGCGATATCATTATTCCATGAGTCTAGAGCGTCATAGCTCTCGTGCATAATGATATTGGTGACCTGGTGCCGGGTTCCGTCATTCACGTTCACGCTGCCCGACCTGACGCTCAAATCGGAGGGTGAGCGGCTGCGTACAAAATAAATAATATCGGTGATTTTTTTTGTAATAACAAAATAATCTTATGCGATTAAATTATTTCCTTACAACAGCAGCTTTAAAACCAATATAGTAATCGCGCACCACATAAAAGAGAAAAAATGTTATTCATCCGACGCTGTATTAAACCGCCTTTGATGCAACTAATGGAAATTGTGCCAATATGCACAACAAGGACTGCTGCATTTGACTGTTAAGCTTTTATCGCCAAAAAAATTCATGTGAACAAATTGAAATTTATTTGGAAAAAGAAAATTGAAGAAGCAATCGTTATAGAAATTAAAAATATAAATAAAAAGTAACAAATATTTTTTATTCTTTAGTTTAAAAAACCTCTTTTTTTTTGCTTGGACATTAACAAAGTGCAAACAAAAACAACTTTTTATCTTGTACGGTAAATTTATAAAAACTTCGTTAAAAAAATTATATTTAATTAAATTTTTTTCACCCGTCAACACAATGCGATGCTGTGAGGACAAACGTTTCGCTGATGATCGAAGCCCCGCATGTGTGCGATTCAAAATATTGCAGAGACAACTGTTAAATAATGTATTAAAATAACACAGAAGTTCACTTTAAAAACTATATTACTTGGCTTGGGTATTTTCCTTGTTCCGCGAATCCCCCGCCAATGATGCGACCATGGAAACCATTCAAGGGGCTTCTGGCGATGCCAGCTGCAATATGCATTAATGTTATTTCGAAATGATCATGAATATTTCATCGAGTGATTTTTTAATTTTGTTTGCGTCTGGCAAATTAAGTTAAAATCAAATCATACCAAATGCTGAACGTGGCCAGGAAAGCAAGGAGCAGAAATCTGAGCATGTTGAATGCGTTTAAATCAACGGCACATTTTGCAAAATTTGTCGTCCTTATATATTATATGTTAATCAAAAAGATAAGGAGCGGGGGCATCTTTGCAGAAAATAAGATAATAATTATTCTGCCTTGTCATATCTGGTAGAAATTTTAATAAACATTTTACAAAAAGGCACAATAAGATCAATCAGCTGAGGATGTGTAGTTTTTTTCATTTTCATTTTTCCAGAATATTATTTTCCCCCGGTTTTTTTCTATTCAAACTTCAATTGGAATAAAAAGATCTTTATAATTTTGAAGTTACCCACTTTAATCGTTAAAACACTTTATATTAATATATTTTTATTACTCTTTTTTAATAATTTTCTACCAGCTGATAATGAAACAGAAGCCTTGATTTATATTATTTTCAGTAATAATGTCCATAAGAACTGTGTAATATGCAATTGATGCACCATTCAGATTTCGCATGTGACTATATCTATAGTTATGCGTTCTAGAGGCAATGCTAAATAACAATGTCGTGCTAACGAGAAGCAGTGAGCGCTATTATTTTTAAAGAAAATATTCAAACAACAATAGAAAGTCCGAGCTGCGTGTCTGCGCACCCCTGCTCGAGATCAGAGTCAGCTTGTACATACAAATACGATCGATTGTTGCATAAACTCTCATATTTTTTGGGCTCCCCCTATCTCGCGATTCGCTAATTTGATTGTTTTATGCCCACTCATCACTTCTGTGCAAAACAATTATTTGCATAACGGGCGCTGAGAATAAATCATTCGCAGTTCTTTAATTGAACATGTCTATTTTTATTGCACGATGATCAAAGTTTTATTATCGTCGATCCATCTGGCAAATTGCGAAATGTGACAACAGCGATAATTCACACCGGCCGGTAATTAAAACCTCAAACTCCGGTATTCGTTCTGATCCACTCCCTGTAGGTGTACACGTGAGTGTAGACGAACGTGTTTTTAATCTGACAGCAATGGGTCCAGGAAATTAGGCGGAGATCGATCAGTGTCGTTCAAAATCGGCGTTACTTAAAATTAATCAGATATGAATGAAGAAAAAAATCTTACGTAGCCTTTTCAAGCCTAATTTTGTATAATTCTGTAAATTAATTTGCCACACTCAAACCCCTAAAAAACAAATATAAAAAAATTAGTCCGAGCAGAATCAAGATGTTTATAAATTTTTGTGTAATATTCCAGCAAGAAACATGCAAGTTATTTTCATGCGCTGAAAAATTTGTAACAAATTTATGATTATTATTTTCAATATTTATTTTACTTTAGGTTTTTTGCGGCAAATGATTATAAAAAAAAATTATTTTTAGTTATTATAAAAGTTGCTGTAAGGATCTTTAATCTGGTACCAATGTAAAATTTCAAATAAATTTTCCTTCTAAATTTTGGGACCCACTTTTGTAATTTTTAAATCTAGTTAATTAAGAGCTTTAGTCTTTTACCAACTGTCAGAATTTCTGACTCATCTGCTTGGCTTCGCTTAACGCAACATATAAGGCATAACGTCAGTTTCGTACAATCTTTGAAATTGGAAAATCCCTTGTGTTGTGATTCTTGTGAAAAATCATTTCGTAGACGGTGTGACGTTTTCCCACACGCCGATTTTCAGCTCTGTTGGAACGTCGGGGAAATCAGGCTGCTTGAAACCATTAATTCTAATCAAATAATGTGGCACGATTTGACAAAACCTGGTGACGTGGGCATAATATGAGTTGATAATCGTTGCACCGCCAACGTGGGATTGTCCATATTTTTATAAAAAAAAACAGAGCTGTTTAAAAAAGAAATCAAAGGAAAAAATTACACAAAATGGAAATGCAGGTTTTTTTCTGATAACATTTTTATGAAAAATTAAAAAAAAAATATCCTATTTTGGCTAGTTTCATAGCTACAAATTACAGAAAAGTTAATGAAAAATAATTAATTAATTTTTATTTCATCCCTCATTAATTAGGATGCAGATGGTAGACCCATTATTTTAGTTTTATTTTTTTAAATTATTATCTTTTTCATTTTTAACTAAAAATAAAGAGTTTTTAATTACTTAATTGAAATTATATTCGGGAACCACAGTAGACTTTGTTACCTTGGGAAGTGCTTATAGCGTTATAATTAATTCAATTGGAAAAATTTAACAGTTGGGTTTCTTAGAACTGTTATTCTTTCAGATATAAATAACCATGTAAATAAATTCACAAGCGATCGGTTTGCATTTTTATGACGTTGAAAGCTTTCAAGAAAAAGAAGCGCATTAACGGTTGCATCAATGATGAAGATTTTTTTACTAACAAATTGATAAACCAAGATAAGATTTGCGCTAAATCGGACCGAGATTATTTCTCTGCGTGTTTGTTGTTGGAATCGCGGCTGCGGCCTGGGGATTGAAATTGGCATTGAGCTGACAATGAGTGTGTTTGCGCTCCGCTTTAACACTCGGTGTGTGATTCTTGAGATCGCGGACGAGGGAAGCAAGAAAAGTTGTCAACTGTGTGCATTTCGCCAGAGCAAACAGTCGACGACGCGTATAAAAAGAGCGAAATCGAAGTCTTGTTGCCACTTGTCGAATCGAAAAAAGCCCCTGCGGCTGAAATTCGATTACAGAACGCAGTTTATTTGTTGGACCAAATCGGTTAAAATTCCTCAAAACTTGCTACCTTCACTTTTTTTTCTTTTTGATGAATAATTAAATAAACGTCTAATTCATTTAAATCAGCTAGAATTGTTCTAAAACTTCAGAGATCCAAAAGACCCCATCAACCGCATATCGAGTCCTGAATTACAAAACGTTTTAAGTGACCAAAATTTGGAACATTTAATGAAATTCAATCTGCAAGTTTATAGCATCAATTTTAAATATTGAAATAAAGTTTTGAATTTTAGTGTGAAACAATTACTTCTGGAATTGATAAGTTAAGTTTGACATTTTGTGACACTCGGGTCAGATTCATTCAATTATTCCAAACAAAATCCCACAAGCGAGACGTAGGCTTGTTTCGCGTCGATCCAATTCCGCAAGTAGTTGGATCTTTAGGGCGATCAGCGAAGACGCCGGCTGGAATATGAGGTGGGCGACGCAGAGGGATTATTGCACCGCCGCGGGTTCATTAAAAGCTCGGGATTAACGAAAGCCTGAGAGACCAGGCGACCCACACCCTGCGCGCGCGATTGTTCCTTCATTAAAACAAACTGGATGACACTTTCATTAGACTCGATCGGCAAACAGGTCGTAAAATTTTGTCGCTCGACCTTTTTGCTCCAACTATACTTCTCAAGTGCGCGTCGTAACTCGTAACTCGCAAGACGGGTCAATATTGGTCTTGCTTCCTTTATTAAAATTACAAAAATACAAATAATGTTAAACAGAAGAAAGCAATTTTAAACAAAAGGACAGCTCTAATAAATTTAACATTTGTGGCCGAGTTTCAGATGTTGTTTAAGCAAAACTAAATATATCTTGCATTATACAAGAAATATATTTAGATTTTAAATACTAAATACAATGAAATTGGGACACAGCAACATTCAACTCTAATCTTAAAAATTGTTAAAGCTAAAACTTTGAAGTTATTGCAATTTATTATTTTAAAAATATAAATCCAAAGTAGTTTTAATCTAATTTTATTGTATATTTTGATTTAAAATAAAAAAAAATAAGCGTTATTACTACAATTATAATAATATAAATTAAATAAAAACCTTTTTTATAAAAGTTTTCTTTTAATAAAAAAAATTATTGAAATTTATTTTACAGTTTACAAAAAAGTTTTATTTTACGTTCAAACATAATTACACTTTTTACATTTCTGCAAAATGATGCAACTTTTTCAACTGGCAGGTCTGGCAAGTTGCCTATATCTCGGAGGTGAAGAGGCGCCTTGATCGAAAAATTCGTTCCCTTTTTCCGTTCGATAAAGGGGTCGTGATGATTATATGACCGACTTTCACTCGCGATTCCGCGTCAAACGTCCCAATTACCACGAGGGCATATCGTCTTGCATTAATTAATCCAAGGCAGCACTAATTAATGCCTGGAAAAGAGGGAAAGGTTTACGCAAAGCCAACGTGACTTTATATACGCGGAATTTTTATTGAATAAATCAATTTTATTTTTCTAGCGTGGGCGCAATCAAATTTTTTTCAGTATGAGCGAGGAATAATTAATTTTATCCACCCAGCCACGTATTTTTTCGAGCCGAAGGTATTTTTATGGGCGTATTCGCGGGCCCGGTAATTATATGGACTGAAGAGCAAACCTAGCAATTATGAGCAGCCGAACACGCGATATTTTATGCGCGCATTCTGCCAATTATCTCATTCGGTGCTCGTTAACCAATTTGGAAATTGCTGGGCCGGAAAAGCGAGCTTTAATTTTCTGCTGTCAGCAATTTCTTCTACAGAAACACCCACAACAATCTATTTATTAATTTCTTTTTATTCAAATTAAATTAAAAAAATTTCTTGTTGACGATGAATTTTATTGATATTGAGCCAAAATTAAAGTCAACCTGGTTAATTCTGAATAGGGTAAAACTGACAACTGACGGATTCTAGATAAAGAAAATATGTTAAAAGAATTGTGCTTTTTATAGAAGAAAGTATCTCTGAATCGAACTTAATGTTCCCCTTTGCTTGTAAAATAAGAATATTAGCAAAATATTTCATTTTTTTTTTTAAGATTTAAATTCTTCCTATTGTTGGGACGAATCTTGGCTTGACGCATCAGGGGATGACGAAAGCGCCACTAAGCATAAAAAATCTCTAGGACATTCCTTTAATGGGGGTTGCGCTGCGAGCGTGCCACTTTCAATAAAACTGGCCAGTCATTTCGGTGCGACTTTTATGCACTTTTCGGCTCTGAGAAAGTCCAGGATGGCCCAACGACGCTAATAACGTCACTATAATACGTCGACATCTGTGAGTAAGGGAGGTTTAATGAGCAAGTAATGACTGCCATGTGCTGACTCAGAGATAAAAGCGAGTTTTATGTTAGTTTTAAAATATTTTTGCAGTCAATGAGCAATGCTGACCCAGTTGTAAAAAATAATTACTTACACGTAAATAATGCTGATTTTCATTGTGATCAGAATATCATTTAAGAGAAGAGGATTTTTTTAACAAATTTTAAAGTAATTATGCTCATGGCGGATGGGGTCTTTTTTTATTTCGGAAGTTTTAGCAAAGTTATTGTTAGTGGTTGTGTTGTTTTGTCTATCATAATTTTTTTTCAAAAAATTGTTTTAAAAAATTTTATGTTAAAAATATATTTGTAACAATTTGACAAATAATAAAAAATAAAAATAATTAAATAAATAAAAAATTAAAAGAATTGTCCAAATATTGGATATTTTTTAATTTTTATAATAAAATTAGGTACAATTTAAAAATATTTTTAATATTTGTTAATATTAATGTTTATTTGCCATATTTAAAATTGTTATTTTACAATTTGATTTGCGCTAAAACCATTAATTCATTATTATAATAAAAAATAATTTGATTCGTTTCTTCAAAGAAACCACGCGTACATAATGAAATTATTTAGCACTTTCCTCATTTCTTTTCTTTTCAAATTTTATTTATCAAAGTTCGATGGCAGCTCTGAAGACCTCCACCTTCAAGGGATGACACTTTTCGTCAGGGACAACTTGGCCGACCGGAATGGAAACGTCTCCCTGCGGACAGGCGCTGAGGGCGACGATTACATCCATGTCGGCGGCGAATTCCAAAAAGTCGCCTTTCCTCGCAGGTGTGGGTTTGCAGAAATATTTGTGATCCGTTTTTCGGAATCCGGTGCACATAAAGACGTTGAGGACGTCGTGCACGTTCTCCTCGCCAAGACCGAATTCGGCTGCGGCTTTTGTCAAATTTTGGTGACAAGACGAAGTGACCTCCAAACCACTTATAAGCCTTGCAGTGTATTGATCGCACCTGATTAAAAAGTTTGATGTAAATATCATCTTTTCTCTCAATTATATTAACTTGTATAATTTTGAATGTATAAATGATGTATCCCGTTATGGGCAGCAATTGCCTTTGTGATAGATCAATAAACACAATTTGCAACTAATATTTACTTCAATTAAAATTAATCAAAATACATTGAAATTAATTTTAATAATATTACTTGGAAATTTAGGCATAGTTGAAAAAAATCACCAGTTTTTAGGATCGTAATTTTATAAGTTAAAAGTTTTATCCAATTAATTTAATTATAATTTATTACTAATAATCTAGCCAGTAAAGAATTTCCAACCTTGTTCCAATGACGTCATGTATGCCGGCGCCTTCTTCGTCGATTCCGTATTTAATTGAGTCTCCAACAATTGTGGCCATTGGATTTAAATTGGGCAGGCAACTCCACAGCCGGTCGCCGACAGTCAGATGCGCCGCGTGGATTTGCCGCGTCTTGCCATTGTAAAAGTGCTCGGCAGGATTGTTGGCGTTCCACATGTTCAGGTCGCCCACTTGCGGGCCAATAGGAACACTTATGCGGCACAGGTCACCTTTTTGCATTCGCCAAGCGCGGCCATCTCTTGCTGGCACAATCAGATCAATCACCCTGAAATGTTCAAATTTTAAGTTTTTCCATTTTTTCTTTTTAATGTTACAAAATTTCTCTCAAAATCTTGGTGGTCATTTTGCAAAATTTAATTTATTGACTTATTTTATACAATAAAATTTCTTGTTTTCATAGCATTTGATATCAGGAAAATTACACTTCTTTTTCATCTCTACAATAAATATATTATGAACAATACACAGTTTTTAATAGTACATGTTAATGTCCGAATTAAAATAATTAACTATTTTTGAAACTTGACTTCTGCTAAAAGCAACCTCCATCTAAAGAGTTGCTTTTGAATTACTAAATAGAACATGAAATCATCCACCATTATTGAAATTTACCTTGTACCGTCATTCAATGCTCGCCAACGAAGATTTTCATATTGATCCAAGTCTGTCTGCTTCAAAATTGTGCCCGGATAGCAAACAATTTCGGGATGCTTGACCCAACGACTCGCTCCTTCTCCACTGCTCATCTTTAATTGACTGAATTAAACACAAGCGACTGTTTGGTCTTTTATATTATGTACTTCAAGTCGCACACACACACACCCTATTTGTAGTGACGCCAAAGATATTTGTCAATGATTTTAAGACTGTGGTCCTAAAATCTTCAAATTAGTATGTGGTGCTTAAAAGTTCAAGGTTAGTCAGTTTAGTGTAGGTATAAATTTATAATATCGTCATGTTTTTCACTTTCCATTTAATTGTAAACAAGAATATTTATAAATTTAAAAGAACAAAAAAATGCTTTATCTCATGTAACAAATATTATACATTATAATTTTGGAAATTTGAGACTGTTCATTGCGTCCAGTATTGAAGGGGAGGAATAAAACGAATTGATGCCATTGATGGTGCTTCTTTTGCCATCCCAACTCAGTTTTTCTCCTTTGATGCGCATAACGATTTACATCAATTGTATGTTTACAATGTGATGTAACAATTTGGACAGATAAACATTTTTTTATCTATCTATAGCTATTTTTTCCGCTGGAAGATGCGGAGTGAATTCGGTTAGAGAAGAAATCCACCGTGGTACGACTGAAATGGATCTCGTTTATTCGTTATTCGCCCCTCAGCTTTTCTCCGAGGAAGGAGCTGCTGTGGACCCGACAAGGAAGCCCAAACAAGGCAAGATCTCTCCGCAGCCAAAGAGGCCATCCACAAACTGATAGAGCTTCGTGTGGCATCAGAGAGATAATTATTGTACATACAATCGGTAGTTAAATACAATATAATTAATAATTTGATATTCAAAATGTAGAGTTTTGTTTTTAAAGAATAAGATGAAAAGTCAATAATCTAAAATCTTTCATTTGATAAATATCTTTTTACCACTTTAAACTCTCAATATTTTTTTAAATTAGAAACAAAATTAAATAAATCTTAAATTCATTTTTTTTTTTATAAAACATTTTGTTGAAAAAGTTTTATCAATTTGAGGTTCCTGATACTAAATTTGAGCCCAGAAATCGTGGTCACTTTGAGAAATACAATACCTGTTGCCGCGGCTGGAACGATGATAAAAAAAATTGAGAACAGCCGCCGCCGCTTGTCGCTTCTCCAGGACCCGACTTCGCAGGGAATTTTTCGAAAACTCTCGTTTTGGGACCGATTTCGGAACTGACGCTTATTTCACATGATCACATGTATCTTTGTAAACAATTAGAGACTCCGCCCCCTCAATGCCGAGGTCAGTGAATTTATATGCGCGCCCTTTTTTGTTGCGTGAACGGAGGGAAAATGAGGGGGCGGATTCGGTAATTGTTTATTGTTTACAAAGATACATGTGATATGTGATGCTGTGAAATAAGTGTCAGTTCCGAGTTTTTTATTTTTTTTGGAAAAAACCCTGCGAAGTCAGGTCCTGGAGAAGCGAAAAGCAGTGGCCGTTCTCAATTTGATCAGCGTTCCTCGTTCCAGCCGCGGCAACAGGTATTTTCTCAAATTGACCACGATTTCGCTTCTCGCCAACTGCAGGCTCAAATTTATGTAGTATCGCCAGGAGCCTCTAATTGATAACAAAAAATTCTTGCTGATAGATTTGTAATTGAACCTTTTTATAAAAATACTAGTTAAAATAAATAAATAATTGATGCTAATTTTGGGACAGAGGTTTGATACTTTGATGATCTCTTTTTGGCTACAAGTGAAAGGACAACTACCGGTGGCGCCTGGACAACAGGTGGATGGGCAACACGCCCTCGTACAGGTAACACATTTTGTATAATTTGTTAGCGCTTAAAGGAGGGAGGGAGGGGCCAGGCAGGGTGGAAGAAGGGTCGCCTAATATTCCAAATCAAATTTATTCGGGCCCTAGACCGCAACACTTGTCGTTTCCTTTGTGCTTCATTAGCTGCTGCAATTGGATTAAACCGTCTTTTACTTTGACTTCCGGAATTTTCCCTGGCTTGCTATGGACCACGGCAATCAGCAAAACCGTAAGTTTGTCTTTTCTTCTGTCAAAACCACTTTCATTCAACCAATCGTCGATCGCAAAATTTAATTTACGGCTACATTTATAAGTTGAATTTTGTAATTGTCATCAACTTTTCAATCGCAGCAAGACAAACTGGCAAGTTACGCACGTCTTGGAAATTCAGGATCAATATAAATTATTTTTCCGATTATATGCACACGTCTGCGTTTTGTGATCTCTACACCTTTTTGGATAGATGATCGCAAATTTTTTTTTTAATAAAGTATATTTATTTGAAAAGAAATTAAAGTCGGTCACACTTTAAAATAAGGAAAATCAATGTTGACATAAATGCTTAAACGGAAAGAAAACTTTTCAAATTTTTTATTCATTGGCTTGAAAAAAAAAACGGATTTATTTTTATTGCATATTAAGGGACCATTTTTAATTATGCCTTTGTAATTTTAAATTACAAGAAGCCGCGGTGAATTAATACTTTTTTCTTTCTCAATGAAAAGACCAAACATGGTTTAGAGCAGTTTATTTTTTATCATAAAATATTCAACAAGCACACAAGTTTTCTGAAGATTCAGCACTTCTAGAAAAATATCTAATTTTACTACAAAATAAAAGCCAGAGTTAATTTCAAGCAATTCAAATCTATTCTCAGTCTAATGATATTTTTAGGATGGACGCTTTCATTGTGTCTCAAATTTGCTTCCAAGCAAATTCAATCAAGAGTGAAACAAAGCAAAGGAAGTCGGAATTCCTCTCCCCCCGCGCATTCAAATCTCCAATTTGCCCGCGTCAAATCTTGTTTTTCACTTTTGCTGTCAATCTATTGTTTTGCCAGCGACTGCTCCCAGTTAACAAATCGCCTGCAGCCAAAAGGAAAAGGAAGAGGAGGGAAATCAACCTTTTTTTTTGCTCAAAATTGACCTTTGTTCATTCACTTTGTTGGATGAAAAGTTTTAGATCTTAGAACTTTTTTATGGAAATTATGCTATTTGTAGCATAATTTTGTAAGATTTGAATTGTTTTTTTCTGATGCGAAAAAAACAATATCCCTATCTAGATTTACAATTTGGCTTGATTTTTGTGATCCACAATTAAACAAAATTATAGAAATTTCAATGAAAAAAGAAACTTTTGTATTTTTGTAATATTCTTGCAACAAATTTTTCCTAAAATTAAACAATGAAGCGCTCATGTTCAAGAAAAGATTAAAATTTTGCTTCGATTTTAGATATTTCTCTCTCTCTCCTGGCTATACACGTTCATTTTATTGAAAATTCATATTTAATATTATTACTTTTAATTAATTCTTATTATTTACTTGATTTACTTTAGTATATTTAAAAGTAATCATAGGCGCGCGTCGTGCCGGTTGCCTAACTTGATCATATGCAGGCGTTACGCACCGGCGTCCGCCTTAATTCATTCAGTTTTTTTTCATCGGATCAAACTATTGATCAGAACAAACAAATCAAACAATGAAATCAGCTAAAGCATTTGACTCGATTTAGGGAAAGCTGTGAGATTCCACGAATTCAGAAAACATGATGAGAAAAATTGAATTCATATTTTTTACATCGTACTATTGGCTAGCAAAATTCATCAACTAAAATGATCCATCCCTGAGATTGTGGGTTCGATTCCCATTCCAGGCGGATTTTTCTCTTGGGGGAACCTGAGTGATTTCTCATGCTGGGACTGCGAGTGAAGGGTTGTTCTTTGCTAAAGTTGGCCGGGGACCGCAGGATTTTGTGTTGAGAAGGGTGTTTGAATTGCACCGCAGTTGTACACGAAAGCGTTTAATACAAAATCCTTTTTTAATTAAAATGAGCAAACAACATTTAAAAGTTTTGATGAAATTCTCTGGGATTTAACAGTGAAATTGATTTAAAGTTTTGTCTTTTCCCGTAGTGTTCCATTTTCAATTCAATAATTCCTAAAAATTTACGCCAAACATATTTTCACAAAGAAAAGGGAAATTAATTATTTGAGCTTCTCCTCAAGAAGTCCATGTTTTGAAATTGAAAAAACTCACCTTGTTCTTATCAAAACATTGAATCAAAAGCAAGAAAAATTGTGGTTGCGTTGAAATTCAACACGACCTCTGATTTTATCGTGTCATGAAATTAAAAAAGCAAAAGAAACCAGCAACAGTTTTCAGCTTCGACTCCGTAAATTATTTTCACCGTACAAAAATTAACAGTTTTTTGTTATTTAGGCGTCGAAGAAGAATTATTAATAAAAAAGACGCACGCGATTTGGCAAAAAGATCGAACTTGGCTCTTAGTAAAATATTCTTAATATGAATGCAAGAATAATATTTTTATTTTTTTTAAAAAAGACCATGTTTATTAATTTTAATACGTCGCGCACCTCATTAAAATTACTTGGTGGAAATTATTAAGCAATTGTCGTACTGAAGTTAAAATAAAAGAAATTATTAAAGCAGACAATTAAGTAGAAAAGACGGAAAATATATTGGCGCTGGCAGTGAAGGGGGCTTGGGGGGGCAGGGCGGTCGGTAGGGGGCGCATCCTTTCGCTGCTGCTCCTTCTCTGCTGCTCGCCCTGGCTCGCCCCGTCGCCCGCTGCCTGCCTCACTTGAGTTCGCTCTTTCGCACCAGTCACACCACGCGTGTCGCTAGTTCGCTTCTCTCATCAAAATCAACAAAATCGTTTGTTTTCCGCTGCATCTTTTGCTGCTGCCTGGTTTTCTGGCTATTGTGAAACCCGCACCTTTCATAAGTAAGTTCTTTTCGCAATTTTAAATCTCTGGCCACCCCAGACAACAAAAAATCATTCGCGACATTAACCAATTTGCGTTATAATAACATTCTGGGTGATTTAATTTTGATCCCCTCTTTTCCCACCATCAAGTACAAATGAATAACATAAACAAGCTCAAAATTACATATGACTTGCGACAAAATTTAGCTTTTGATGCTCATTTTTGTGTGCGCAAATCATTCTTCGTTTAGTTGAATATTTTTCTGGGATAGCAATACGGAAATTTAATAAGATTATATTAGTCTGACGGTCACACCGATCTTGAATGCGACCGTACCGTTAGAAAGAGAAGGTAGAAGAAGTTCCTCTTCGCGTGCATTCAAATCTCCTTCCAGCAAATTGTTTTAAGTCTTCCACTCGCGCTTCTTTATTCTCCTCCACCACTGAATCAGCAGGAAAATTCATTAGGAAAAGCCTGCAGCAAAGTCGCCAACAAACAACTCAAATTTTCAACCGGTTCCGATTCAACTCGACACTCATCATTTCTTTCCTTGCTCTTATAACAAAATCAAGGTTAACAAGGTTAATTGTCAATTATTTAGAATTCGGTCATTTATTTGGAAGAGAAAATTAAGCTTCTCTTGGTTATTCTCGTTCCAGTTAAATTTGTGGAAAAATTTCACTGATAAGGGTAAAAACTTAATTCTAACCGCGGCTGATGGGGTCTGTTTGATCTCGGAAGTTTCGGCAAAATTCTTGCTAGTGGTGGTGCCGCTTTGTCCAAATAATTCCTTTTTCTCTAAATAAATTATTTTCAACAATTGAATGTATAAACAATATAATATTTGTAACAATTTGGAACAAGCAATGATAATTCAATTCAAAGTTGGATCTTGATACTTTTTATAGTTGTTAATTTTTTTATTCAAAAATCTGGTTTAAGCTGCTGAGATAATTTGACAAAAAATAAATTAAATATTAAAGAGAAGAATTGAAATCAACTTCAATAATTTTGAGCTAAATTCTTACACTGAAGCATTGTTGATACAAAATTGTTCAACAATTCAATTGGAAATAGGAAAAAGGGTGTTTTTTTGGCACCTTTGGACACAGGTCAAGGAGACAAAATTATATTAGAGCTTTTTTCCTCGGGGTCGCATTTTTTCATTTGCCGCCACTTCTCCTTATTTTGCGCGCCGCGGTTTATGGCTTTCTTTTGTGCGCTCTGGGGTGCGGCTTTTTTTCTTTAACCAGCGATTTTCTTGTCCCCGCGGCGCCGGCTGGTCGCGCACAGAATTCAACCAGCAGACAAAACACCAAATTCCTAAAAGGAACCAAAAGGCACCAACACAATCTTTCTCACCAAAAGATTAAAAATTATAATCAAAACTCGCGCGGCTCTTCTTTGAATGATTGTTTAGGCGACGGCAACAATTAATCAGGCGGGATTTCAAATTTTTCATGTAAATTCCTTAATTGTTTCTCATCCATAGCAACAAGAGAGCTTATGCACAAGTTAAAAGATATTTTTCGTAGGTAATATTTTGTAAATTTAATGGAAATTTTTTGAAATAACTTCAAATAACAAACCACTTTAAATGTTGCCAACAAAAAGAACGGTAAAATATTATGGCTCCCCCAAATGATTTAATTCACTAAAAAATTTTATTTCCTCAAAGGAAGTGAAAATTGGGCACCCAGCGAGCAAGAAAACAACTCGCTCCAAGCGCGGTTGCTGCATGTGCTGCAACACAATTTCCAAGCCGTTCTTGTCGCTGCAAGTCTCTTCCTGTTAACTTCGATGAGCGATTCCAGGGACAAAACTTTCATGATCGCGCTCGTTATCATGCATAACATTGCTCTTTGATGCTCATTTTTTATTTACATATTTTCTTCTTTGCTTAATGCGTTGTGATTATGATTTGCTTCAATATCAACCATTAGTGTTTTAATCTTGCAACATTTTAAGATTATGCGTGTTTTTATTTCTTCTGAAAAACAAGCTTTGTGCGTATTGCACTCGAAGGGTCCTTTTTCGAAATGATAATCAATCACATCCTTCAAATTAATCGATCAAAATCTGTAAAATTTCACTCATGAAAATTTAAAACGTTCCAATCGTTGCTAATTGAGCGCTTAATTACTCCGCACAGTGACATGTTCACGCGTTTTTATTTACCACAGACATTTAATAAGACTTTATTTTGGCGATTTGGATTTAAAATCGGCTTTTCCTCGTAAGTGTTTATTATTAATAACAAAAAAACAATATCCTGCTCCACATGTTTTGGCTGCAGCCATAATTCATGAGCAGTGAAAATCACTTTAACAAGTACTAGTACAAAAGTCAACCTTTTTTATTGTTGTTTATTGCTCCAAATTGTCACATATCACATTGTTTACATTCGATTGTTGAAAACAATTTATTAAAGAAAAGGAATTGTTGGAAAAAAAACAGCACCACTTCCGAGATAAAAAGGCTCCATCCGCCGCAGTGAGCATCGCATTAACCTGAAATTATTTTGAGCTACATTTTTACACAAAATTTGATAGTTGAATCCAAGATTTTTAACAAATAATTTTTATAATATTTTCCGTCTGATTTTGTGTTTTGAGCTTGCTTTTCTCAGTCAGTGGAGGTCCTGGTGGAGAGAAGACCAAGTTATTTTTTTCCTCATGCCTCGTCTCCACTACACTTAAGTGCTGCCCCCTCAGTGTGAAATCACACTGAGTGCATAGTGTAGACGTACGCCATCGCCCTTAGGGAGAGAAATACACTCAGGATACTTTTGAGCGATCCTGAGTGCGTTGAGCATGCGCTCTCATCACTTGTGTACAATAACAATCGCGTATAATCGCGGCACACGCAGCCAACATTTTGTGGATTTTGGGGGTTCTTTTAAATTTTTTAGAAAATTTGTTTAATAATTTATTTTTGATACTTAATTAAATTTATTCTTACATCTTTATAAAATAAATCTTACTGCTGACCTCCATTATAAACTATTAACATAACTATATTAATTATTAATTATATTTATTATTGAAAATCGAATTTATTTATTAAACTTGTATTAGCTTAATTTTTAATTATCGGTAATAGGTCTGCTCCACAACACCGCTAAAGCGCTATATATAGCTGGCGGAAGCGGGGGTCCATAAGAAAAGCATTAATTGCGGCCAGCTCCGCCAGCTACTGCCTTTTAAAAATTTAAACAAAAATTGAAATTAAAAATCCAATAAAATTAATAAATAAAAATAAATTAATTAATTATTAAAATATAATACAAAAAATTATCTAATATCATCCCCCTTTTAACAAAAAAATTTTAAAAAGTTCTTATAACCTCGTCGTCCGAGTCCATTTCGTTATTAATTTTAGTAAAGAAACCTCAAAATAAATTTTGAAAGTTAAGTAGGCGCTCTCTTTAACGCATTTTCGCATTTAAACGCGCGTTTGTCCCGTCAGCTGGCAGTGCCCTTAAGTGTGGTGTAAAAAGCAGCAAAATCACACTCAGGCAGCCTGAGTGTTGCCACGCCCCTTTCCCCTCAGTACGGTACACTTAAGTGCGTTTTGGTGGAGAACAGGCATCAGGCAGAAATGTATTTGCATTGTATTCATTTGTCTCCACTGCTGTCTGCATATTTCTTTATTTTGAAGCCGATATCTGTGGGTGCTGACGGGTTTATTGCTCTTGTGTGCATTTGCACTGCGGGTGCGGCGCCCGCGGCACTCTTTTTCTTTCTGGCAAGAGAGTGGCTGCTGTTGGAAGCGATTTTCTTCTCCCTCTTGGCGGCGCAGGCCATGAACGCTTGCTTTTTTCTATGAAATAATTCTTGGCCGCCTTGATGGGCTTTTTCAACTGTCAAACTGGGCTGGCTGATTGTACTGCCGATCGCCATGAAAAACACATTAGTCCCAGGGTCACACCGATCTTGAATGTGACTTAAAAAGGAAATTAAGAGACAGGAAGTTGGAATTCCTCATCCCCTGAGTTCAAATCTCCTTCCAGCAAATTAATTTTGTTTTCCACTCGCGCTTCTGTTTCTCCTCTGCCACTGAACCGGCAGGAAATTCATTTGGAAAGGCCTGCGGCCAAGTCGCCAACAAACAACTTGAATTTTCATTTGCTTCCCATTCAACCCAACTCTTGCCATAATCCTCTTTGCCCTTGCAACAAACAATGAGACGCATTGATAATTTAGAAATTTTTTGACGTGTTTTTTAAGTTTCTTTTCAAGGCGATTTTTTTCACAACATTTGTTATTATTTGTGGGGAAAAATTATAATACGTATTGTTTGCGAATTGCAATAGTTTCAAAATTTTAAAGATCTATAGATTTTCAGAACTTAATTATAATTTTTATGGTGATTTGAATTTAAATTCGGCTTTTCCTCGATGGGTTTTTGAGAGTTTTTATTTTAAAACAATATCCTGTTCTACATGTTTCGGCCGCAAGACGAAGATGCCCCGAATAAATTGGCGATGCACGCGCAAAAAACAAATCATGACATCGACTTTGAGGGCGCCAGCATTATTCACCGCGAGAAAAATTTCAAAAAGAGTCGCGGCAGAATCAATGGCCACGGTGGCGATCGGGAATACAATCAGCAAGCCGAATTTGACAGTTGAAAAAATGTGGCATAAGCCCATCAAGGCGGCCAAGAGTTATTTAAAAAAAAGCTGGCCGGCGCCGCCAAAAGGAAGGAGAAGAAAATCAGTCGCGGCAACAGCCCTTCGCTCGCCAGGCGAAAACAGGGAAAGAAAAAGAGTGCCGCCGCGCCTACTGCAAGTGCACAAAAGAGCAATAAACTCATCTTCACCCACAGGTATCAGCTTAGGCCGCATACAAAATAAAGAAATGTGCAGACAGTAGTGGCGACGAATAAATACAATACATTTTTCCACAAAATAGCCTTTACCTGAAAACTGAAAAACCAACGTCTTCTCTATCTCGACCACCGGCGAGAAAGGTACCCTTGAACACACAATGTTCTGACCAAATTTTTTATAAAAATCAATTATTGTTAAAAAATCTTTTGGTTTACCAATATTTTTCAATTCATTTTATCAAATTTTTGTGTTAAAAATTGTTTATCGTAAAAATGCAACCTTTAAATAATTGTTAATGAAAGAAAATAAATTAAAAGAATTGATTTTTGTACTGATTCTTGTCAAAATAATTTCACAGCTCATGAATTATGGCTTGTAGCTTAAACATGTAGAGCAGGATATTGTTTTTTCTTAAACAATAAAAACTCACAAAAACCAACGAGGAAAAGCTGAATTTAAATTCAAATCACCATGAATCAACCCTCGATCGTGAACTCCTACTTCAAAATATATTTTTTTACAAGAATTTACCAAAAAGGTTACAATGGAATTTAAAGTTGGATTTTGATAGCTCCTCAAAGTTATTATTATTTTTTTTACATACAAATTTTTCGCAGAAATAATTCTTTGGATAAAACGGCACCACTGTGAAAACTTCTGATGTCAAAAAGACCAAAGAAAGCGCCGCACTTTTTAACTCTTCTCTTATTAACTCATTTTAATTTAATTGTTCTGCCAATGAAAAAGCTAAGAAAGAAAGAATTTTCATAATTTGTCTGCTGGGGGCCTGGAAAATTTCCATAGGGTTTCTTCGTCATTCAAAGTTTCAGATCGAAATACTTTTTAATTAATTTCACACGTTTTGAGCATCTAGCACCTTACTTTTGCTCACAATTTCAAAAAATTTTCATGGAATTAAAAGTCTCGATTTGTTTCCTTGCTTGCAATGGAATTTTGTTGCCTTTGTTGATACTGATGTGAGTAAATTTGTTTCAGTGAGTTCAGCAGTCTCCTCTGGCGACAAAGAAGCCATGTGCTTGCATTTCGTTGACCAGGCTTTTCTCAGCAAGGGCAAGAACGGCTCTTTGCTGCCCCCCGTCTGTGCCGACGCTGCACAGAGGACCTACCCTGACTTGGAAATGTGAGTATTTTTTTCTACATTTCACTTGAAATTATACATTCTGTTGAATAATTTTCAATTCAGAGTCATTGTCACCAGAAATGTTGTGCAGTGAAACTGCTACGCGGATTTCTTTATTGTTGTTTTTTTGTCCGCAAATTTTTGCAAAAATTTCACTTGCATCGTTTTGCTTCAACGACTTTCAATTCTAAAAGTGTAAAATTTATCAATTTTTGTCACCGTAATAAGCGGAAATAACAATAAAGTTCGGAAGAGCATAATAGACAACATGATTGTAGTAAAACAAAAAAATTAACTGATTCAGAATCCTTGTGATCTAAAAACTGAAAGCTTTCTTGAAATATTTAAATTTAAACTATGACCTTCAAAGCCATCATTTAATATCCATCGAAGAATTTTTTCCCCAATTATTTTTCCTGGACTAAAACTTTTATAAAAGAACATGATGAAGTTCGTATGTTTAAAGCCACATCATTTTCTATAAGTTAGTTCAAAAATAATTTGTGTCATTGTTTTTTTTATTTTTACTTATTTCCCTTTTAATATGTTTTGTATTTTGCTTACGATTTTTTTCTACTGTGCACACAGGCTTTTCAAGAGGGTTGAGCAGAAATTCAATGGGCAAAAGCACTACGATGGCAAAACGTTCCTGAAGGAAACCTTCGTAGTTGAGTTCTCGTCACTCATTCTTTCAGAGAAGCCCATCGCTGAAGGCAGCAGGTTGGCCTGGTTCACGTAAGTTTTGCTTGATTATTTTCAATAGAGTTTTGTCATTGATTTTGTGTCCAACTAGGATGCTGCGTGCAGCCCTGCTCTTCCTCATGCCCACCACAGACAAGGAGTTCGAGCCAATGCTTGTGAGGCGGATTTTGCTGGAGGGAAGCAAACGCCTGCAGCTCAACAACGACCTCGACGCCAGCCTTCTTCTAGCCCTCGACCCGGACGTTCAGCATTTTAACTTGCTCATCAACAAGGCGCTCCTTGCCGTCGAAAGCTCCCAAATTTACAAACTGCGTGATGCCTGTGAGTGTTCAAAAAAATTAAATTATAAATTCATGATTCATGATTATTATTCAATTGCAGTGCCCAAATGCAGCTTGGAAGTCGCCTTGGCCACCTTGAAAACCCTCAACTTGGCCATCTACGTGTCTGACCTGAGCTTCCTGAAGAAAGTCAGGGACAACTTTGCCGCATCGTTGCCCTTCATCGTCCAGACCGATAAGAGGCACCTCTTGTGGCTCAAGGTCATGTTCTCCGCATTCCGGCAAGCGTCCAAACCTGGCCGGAAGGCAATGCTTCAGGTAATTATTATCTTATTCGGCAACTTTTGGAAATTTTAAATATTTCATTTTTTTTTTGCTCTCAAAAATAAAATTATGCTTTTTTAGTTCGAATAATTTAAATTTTCAGTCAAACAAAAATATCATTTGAGACGCCTCTGCAAATTTATTTTTTCAAAAATCTCATCTGTTTCACGGACATATTTTAAATGAGGAAAGCTCAAAAATTATTTATTCTCAATTGTGTTCTATTAATTTTTGGTAAAGATGATATGGAGTAAAACGCTCTCTCACTTTGTTTTGCAGAACATTCAGCGATCTCTGCACAGTTCGTATGCCAAGAAGATCATGGTGAAGCTGGATGGAAATCTGGAGAAGCTGCAGGTCGACCCTGCCCTGCGCGGCTTGGCCAAGCAGCTGCTGTCCATGGTGGGCACATGTGCCATCATGAAGAGCCCCATCAGAGAAATGGACAGCCTGCCCTTGCCTGGACTGCTGGCCTTGGCGGTGGACCCTGAGAGGGACGCCTGTCCTGGCTGGCCCTTAATCTCCACCCTGCTGCCCTACCGGCTCTTCGCCTTCATCCCTCACCTGGCTGCAAACGTATGTGTCCACCCTTGAAATTGTTCTTTGCTGATTTTCCAATTTTTCTCTCCAGAACTTCTTCGGGTTGAATTTGCAGCCCGCGGTGCAGAGGTGGCTTTTTGGGTGGCTGCCGTTTTTGGCCACTCCCCGCCTCCGTCTGATGGCCCTCGAGTGGGCCATCTACCTGAGCCCGAGCGCCCTGGCCAAGGCCGAGTTGGCCCTGTGCTGGGCCAAGGAAAGCTTCAGCCCTCCCATTGCCGCAGCCAACTTGCTCAGCATTCTGCCTGCCATCATCAAGACATGCCAAAGGCTGGGCCTCGCCAAGACTACTGGCCTTGACCCTGCCAGCCAGCAGGTGGCCGACAGGTACCTGCGTGAGTCTGCTCATTTTTGGTGCCCCACGTGGCACCGGAGCCCTGCTGAGTTCCTTCGTAGAGTGCAGATGGTCATCGAAGACAAGCTCGGCCCATATGTAAAGGTAAGGATAATTAATTCTACTTTTAAATCTTCATGTCTCACATAATATACTAATTAAAAAAGGATATTATGCATATAAGTTTAGAAATAATTGAAACATTTTGCTTTCTAAATTTAGCAAAATTAAGAAGCGTGCAAGAGGATTAAGCAAATTTGCATTAATTACATGCTTTTTACATTAACAATTTGATCACAAATTAACGCCATTAATGATCATTAAGTTTTAATTGTGGCTTCTCTCAATGAATTGTGGGTTTTTCTTGCATTTGAATTATCTCCAGCAACAATGCTTTTTCTTTTTATATATCAGTATTATAAATTTGGTTAAATTAATGTTTATTTATATTATGATAACTTCTTGGAGGATCAACTTTCATTTTATATCTGCTGGTTTTTACAAAAATGTTTGGTATGCTGAACTAATTATTTAAATCTCTTCCAACAGGCCGAAGATTTGCCCGAAATCAAAGATGACATGCCACAGAATTTCCAAGCAGAGAAAGAAATCTGCAAGTTCTTGGATGACATGGTAATTGGTTTAAATAAAATATGGAGAAAAAATAATTCTAATTTTGCCAAAAATTTTCCAGTTTTTCAAGCATGTGAGCCAGTCTGTCAATGGCCAGCAGCTGGAATTCCCTCGCTCACTGGTAAGTGCTTCAAATCTGGCCCTAGCTTTTCTTTGCATTTTCTAATGTTTTGCCACCTCTTGCAGGTTGCGCCTCTGGACATCACCAAGGCCAACGAACACTTGTTTGGGGTTTTTGACCCTCCCGCGCCACAACTCGAAATCAAGGCAATCCCCACAGGCACCGCCCTGGCGTCCGAGGATTTTCCCTCAGCAGATGCTGACTGCGATCTCCTGACCAACACCCTCGCTCCACTGCTGGAGCCCAGCACTCCCCCTCAAGCAGAGGACCTTCAAGAGGCTGCTGAGAACAACTTTGAAGACGCAGAACAGGAGCCTCCTGCAGAGGATGATGACGAAGAGGAAGAGTGGTATGAAGCCTGCGACCATCAGGAATCAGAAGCTGAAGACGAGCCGACTTCGAATGACTCATCTGAGGCTGCCCAAGGGGAAGCTGGCCCAGATGAGTGTGGACCTGAAACGGTTGACCAGCTGCCAGAAGACTCAACCGCTCAAGAGAGCAGTGATGCCCAAGGGTCAAATGCTGACCAGCAGCCCAACCCAAATTCCTTCAACCAAGAAAATGCCTCTGCCCCTGAGACCGATGACCAAGTTGCCGACAAGGTCCTCGAGGAAGAGGCTGAAGGAGAAGTGGCTGACTCTCCAGCTCCAGAAGAGGAGGATGCCCAGCAAGAAGGGGCACCTGCCTCAGATGCCGAGGAACAGCCCGACCCCAAAGCCATCGATCAGGAAAAAACTCCGGCTAAGGCAAGTGTTCTTTTCATATGCTGGCATTATTGAGAGGTTTAATAAAACTAATGTATTTCACAGGTCGCAGCACCTCCAGCAGCAGCGCCTCCCAAACCAAGAAAGAGGACTGCTGAAGTTCTTGAGGAGCTGGAAGACGATGCTCCCACAGAGGTCACTCGTGTTGTGACCAGGAACAGGGCCAAGGCCAACAAGGTAAAAACATCTTTTTTCAAAGCTGGAGGTTTCAAATCTGACTACATTTTGGTTATATTCCAGATTGAGCTCCTCGGCCTCTACGAACCCCCTAAAAGAGCCAGAAAGCGCCCTTCAGACCCCACTGGGGCGCCCGCCAAGGTGGTCAAAGAAGGCCCCAAGAACAAGCGCGGAAGGAAGACCAAAGTGAGGCCAGTCTCTCAGGTAAATAAACTCTTGGATTTTTTCCCTTGAATTTAAGTAACTAATTTTTTTCTTCTTTTTACCCACAGTCTCCTCGAGCTCTTCAAGCCAATGGGCAGCCTGTAGAGCGCAGAAAGGTAAGAAAACTTTTGTACAGTTTCTGATCAAATTCTAAAAACTTTTCTCCGAATTGCAGAGGAAGCATTGGCAGCCTGACCCGGATGACATCTTGCCCGGAGATCGGCTCTCAAACAAGCGCCATGCTTTTGACGAGGCAAAGCAAGCCATCGGCTTCTGCCTCAGGCGGGGGGCCAACATGGCCCTCTACCATCGCCACTGATTTGGCTGCCATTCGCCCCTAACAAGGTTTGTGAACCACTTGCAAGTCAAAAAGCAGCTATTTTAATATTTTTTGCTTTTGTGTTTGCAGATGAACTATTTAGAAAGTAAGACGAGGCAAATTACTCCTAGATGCACTGGTGAGTTTAGACTTTGAAAGATTTACTTTCACCTCTTTTTTTATATATTATAAATTAAAATATTTTAAAACACTCCTATTGTTTATGTAATAATTTTTTCTAATTCAACATTTCTGTTCCTTTTTGTTGCAGTTTAGAGCACAAGCTGTTCTCTACTTCAAAACTGGACATTGATTACATCAAATTGCAAGACTGTGCACCACTCCTGTCCACACACCAGCAGACAGGGAAGTTTACCTCTCGAAGATTCAAATTGTAAGGAACTTTTTTAATTCGCTCACCCTCTTGCTTTTTTCACAAACCATCATGTTATTGTTGCAAATAATCTGACCTTTTTTATTTTTCTTTGTTATAGAAGAGAGAAACGAGCACAGTCGGACCTACAAATTTGTCAACCCTCTCAATGACTTTTATGTCTTTTGTGGAATCGAAATGCACAGCTGGTGAGTGTTTTTACTCTTTTACATCAAAGCTCTCGATAGGAATCTTAAATAGAGTTTGTTCGTCATTTTTACTCCAATGCAAAGTGAGAAAATGATCTCCTTCATAGTCAAATTTAACTGTTGACTTTGCCTTCTCAACTCTAGTCTTTTTAAAACGTAACGAAAAGCTGTTTTAATGTAAGGAATATTTGTATTATTGTGATTTATAAAGTCCAAGCTTGTTTGAATCCATTTTTGGGTTGGAAAATATTAATTTTGAACATTAAATGTCCTCTTTTTGAAGTGTTTGATTGTGTTCCAATTGACAAATTCCTTTTGTTTTGGATTACAGATCAAGCGCATTTTGGCACCAACAGCAATACAGAGAGGATGGCGAGAATCTGCGATGTCAGCAATTCGATAAGTACACAAACCCGATTAGTTTTAGATATTTTTGGCTGCCGAGTAATTAATCTTATATTGAGAAGGAAAATTTAAAAAATAATGATTCAGTTTAAGTGAAAAATAGAAAAATCAAAAAGATATTAAAAAAACTTGAAAACTTGTTGAGAGTAAAAAAAAAATGAAAATTAGAAATTTTTTATAAAAATAACTATAAAAAATATTGAAAATTAAAAAAAAAATATATATTTTAAGAAATGCAATATTCATGTAGGGAATAGGTACAGATGGAGCTGAGTTTATCACTGTTTATTTTTTTTAAATTTTGAATACATTAATTATACACATTCTTCATATGTACTATGTAGATATCACAGAAATTTAGATTTAAGTTTTGCCCTGAATTTTAGGTTAAATTGAAACTGCTACTCATGTGGCCATTAGGCAAGGGCATCATTCTTATTGGTTATTCTGCTGAAGCAGTAAAAATGGAAAAAGAAAAAGTTAAGAATGCCCGTAATATATCTGTACAGAAAAAGCCCATGAGTAAAATGTTAACCCCACTCGGCAGCCTTCAATCCCCCTCGTAAATATTTGTGCTATATTTTTGTACATATTGGTTAAGGAAGCGGCCGCGCTGATAAAAGGTTCACTATTAGTTTTTAAGAGAAGTCTCATATCAGGCATTGGCATTTCACACTGCTTAAGTTTTTCAAAGAAAGATCAGTGTGAATTGCGAGGTCAAGCAATATTTATTCATTTGATGGAATTTTCAACATTCCTGCGTATTTTTAGAGAAAATTTATTTTTCGAGATATTTGGGAGATGTCTCGATGGAAAATGACCTCTAGTCAGAATTGAATTGAAACTTATATTACCTGATGAGACTTGTTAGGTCTGATTGTGATAGAAACTGGAAATTGCTCTTGGCCTGCAGAGTCGTCACTTTGCCAGCAGGTCGAGCGCACTTGTTGCTGCAAGACCTGCCAGCAGGTGAGACTTGCCAGGTAGGTTTTCTTTTTGTAAGGGCGGAGTGAGAGATGCCCTGTTGGACGCGAAAACCGACAGACAATTTGTTGGTGGCGCGATTGGAGGCGAGGGGCGCCTGAGGGATCGGCCGGGTAGATTGAGGGCGAGTCACGTCCGAACAAAAGTTCGGACGGGTCGTAAAACATGCACCGGAAAAGGTGTCCAGACGAGCGTCGTCTTTCGTAGCTCCGCGAGGCTACAAGTAGCTCCGAGGCTCGATTTTTTTTAGGTTTTTGCCTTTTCTTTTTTCAGCCCTCCAACCTTGTTCGCGAACTCGAGCCTCGCTAGTTTCTAGTTTCCGAGCAGCGTCCGGTCTGGCTGTTCTTTTTTGCACCGCCAACGTAAATTCACAGTTAGCGATTCTTTTTTCAGGCAGGACTACACAAATCCCACAGGATACGTCAGACGCACACTTACCCTTTTTCATTCCGAAAGTTTAATTTTAATTTTCATGAAACTAAGTATGACTTTTTAGGAATCACAGTCTCTCATTGAAATTTGAATTTTCAATCATTTAAAAGCAGATTGAAAGTTAATTTGCACCTCGATCTCTTCCATTTTTTCTTTAAAAAAAACGGTAAATTTGAACCAATTCGTGTCTCCCAGGAAATCAAGTTTTGTGTGGAGTTTTTTTGTTCTTAAATTAAATTTCGAAAAATTTGAAGGCGATTTTTGACCTTCTTGTTGGGCCTGACTGAGAGCAGCAGTCAGGCCGGCCGCGTTTTTTTTACAAATTAATTTGTCTAAATTAATGGACAAACAATTAAATTCACTCCACACTCACTTGGCTTCCCACCCTTTGCGCCCCAATTTAATTAAAAATCTTTGATCGAAGCCAAAAATGTAATAGATCAAGTTGCCAATTAACTTTCACATTTCTTTTAAAACCTTGCAAAATTTAAATGCCAAAGATATTCCACGATTCTCAACAGAGTGATATGAATTTCATGAGAGTCGAGGTTAAATGGAAGGTTTGAAAACACACGTACACCCCACAAACGCAAACCAACACTTACACAACGCTCAGTTTTTTTTGGCTAGGGACGTCCCGGTAGTTTCTAGAGCAAAAAAAGTAGCATGGCGACGTTCCGGGACCCGGCGGTTCACAAGAGCCGTCGCATCCACGCGTGTCCGGTGATGGACACGTTGGGTGGTCGCGTGCGTGTGAAGCCTCGGACAAGTCAGCAATCGCCCCGACCTTTACCTCAGGCGCCCCTTACCTCCAATCGCGCCAACAATGAATTCTCCGTCGTTTTTTGCGCCCAGCAAAAAGTCAACCTCCCTGGCAAGTCTCACCTGCTGGCAGGTCTTGCAGCAACAGGTGCGCTTCACTTGCTCACAGGTCTTGAGCACCTTGCGTCCCTTTTACCGAATGAACACCGCAATATTTGCACGCCCTTTACAAGTGCAGCAACTATTTTTTTATACGTGTAAAGCATCAAGAGCCACTTTTGCCCAACACTCGATTTGCTTTTTGATATTTTTACACTGCAAAAGTTGCACTTCTTTTACAAGTGCATCGGATACTATTTTTTTATTCATTTAAAGCAAGAGCCACTATTTTGCCAACACACTGCTTTTTGGAATTCGCAATCGTTATAATTTTTTTTTTAAATAATATCAAAAATATGAATCATTTACACATTTAGTTATTAAGTTAAGACGTACATTGCTAATGATGAGGAAAATGTTTTATAAATTTCCAGTAATCAGTATTATGAAAATCTTTGAATTCAACCTCGTGGGCCGCTAAGCAACGGTTCTTCTAATAATTTGTGCTTTAAAAAAACAGTCATAGCTCAAGCTGCTAATTAACGGCTTTCATCTAATATGAGCTTCAAAAAAAAAAATAATAATAATAATATAGCACTGTTTTTAGAATTTAATGCTTCAATTAGTAATTAAGCTAAAATATTTTTTATATCTACTCCATATTGTACACAAATCTTTCCTCTAAATATTCGATTAAAGCTCAAGCCGCTAATTAACGGCTTTCGTCAAATGTGAGCTTCTAAAAAAAAAAAATCACAAAAAACGGGCGCAGCTCAAGCCGCTAATTAACTAACGGCTTTCATCTAATATGAGCTTAAAAAAAAAAAAATTTAACACCGTTTTTTAAAATATAAGGCGTCAATTAGAAATGAAGTAAAAATATTTTCATCAACTCTGTCGTACAAAAATATTTCCTCTAAACGTTCTGTTAAAGCTCAAGCTCCGTAAGTAACGGCTGTTCTAATAATTCGAGCTTTCACAAAAAGACAGAACTGAATAATTTTATTCTGCCCAGCCAGATACAATTAGGTGAATGTAAATTGAATAATCAGTCACATAGGCGCAGCTCGAGCCGCTAATCAACGGCTCCCATCAAATATGAGCTTGAAAAAAAAAATAACTGCCTGCTGACAATCATATTGATCACTTCAACAACTTCAAGTACCCTCTCTCAGCTCCTAAAAATGAATGAAAAAGAGGGTACAAGAGATTTTTCTCCGCTTTTCTGCAATCTGAAAATTACATTCACCCTAGTTAGGTTTCATGTATATATTTCTAGATTTAAAAGCTAGTAAAAAAAGCTCCCCATGCAATAAAAATCATATTTTTAAGCATTATATTGCTAAGAATTCTCTCTGAACAAAAATATTTACCAGATGAACCAAAGAAATCAGCGCGGCCTAATAATTATTCTTACTGCTTCAAAAACATGTAAATAATTTTTTAAATAATTGTTTGTAAATTGATATTTACCCTATAATTTTGTACATTTATTAGTTTGTATTAAAAGTATGTAAATTAACTAAAAACACCTGCCTTATTTCTTTTAATTTTTATTACCATTTGTTTATAATTACATTTTAAATTTAGAAAAACATTGGGGAAAAAATCAGGTAATGTTTCATACATTTTAAAGGAAAATGCAGATATGATCAATATTTTTCTTGCAGTTTCCGGGAGGACGTTCAAGGACCAACCTTTTTCCTGCTCCCCTATAAAGGTAATTTTTATTTCATTCTATGTTCAAAATCACTTTTTCATAAGCTCAGAAACTTTTGTTATTTTCCTTCTCTAATTCCATCTCACTTGAATTTGTTTCAGGCTCTCAGAACAGCAATAACCCTGACCCGGCCATTCTTCGAAGGTGAGCACTATTTGTTTTTTTAATTTTTTTGGGAAAATATTTGCAATATATCAATTTTAACTCTCTTTGATCTTATTTTTTTTTTCTTCTTAAATTGGAGGCCCAGCACTGACCACTGCTCGGTCAGTAACGGGCTTTCAATTTGGCTTTTCTGTTTATATAATTTAAAAAAATTGTGATTGAAAAAATCCTCCTTCCCAAAGAACATCTGTGTTGTGCTTTTTACTTTTTGTTCCAGCTTGAAAGAGAGACGAGGGCTGACTGAAATGTCAAAATCTTTGGACACAATTAGCAGTCTGAAGCGAGCCTTGCCGTTGACCACGATCAGCAAATCGAGCTTTTTGATCAATGCGTTGTCTGCGAATCCAAGAATTGATTGCCGCTCAGAGGTATTTAATTTATCATATAATTTTAACATTGTTATAAAAATTTGTGTTTCGTAAAAAAATTCCAATTGAACCAAGAATGCAATTCTTTTATAAATATGCGTTACTTTCCATCTATTTGAGGATTTTTGGTTTAATATTAAATGTAGACTTTCATTTTACTATTTTTTTTTTCATTTATTTAAGGTTAAAATGTTTTATACAAATATCAGAAGTTATTATTATCGAGAACAAATAATTTTTCCGTCTTAATTGGCACTCTAAAGTTCTGTATGAAAATACTTGCAAAAAACTTGTTGGTCTATCAAACCAAAAAAGAAAATTATAATTATATGATCCCTATTAATAAAATACAGTCGATTGATTGCTAATGTTGTGGTGAAAAATATAAAGCCACAGGTTTTTCTTAATTAAATATTTCTTACCAATATTAAATTTCCCTAAAATTGTCACGGAAACATTTTGTCAACCAATATTTGGCCAAATATATTATACTCTTGAGCAGCTGAAATTCTTAAATTGAATAAACTTTCTTCCAGAATTGGTTCAACGCCTGCTTTAAAACTTTATGCTGAAACATGATAAAGAGCTGGTCAGTTCAAAAGGAATTTCCTGCAGAGGCCGGATTAAAAAAAGTGCTGCCAAAAGAGCAGGTGTGCTTGTGTTTTCATGTTGCTAAATAATTTTAAATCTCATTTCTGCTCTTGCTTTATAGTGTGGTGGGCGATGGGCTTCTTAACCTCTCAGGGTTTCTACCCTGGTTATCAACTGAAGGTATTTTTTTCTGCAGAATGAATATTTGTTTATTGATTTCAAATTAGAAAAAAATTAATGATATATAAAATTTGGTTATTTAAACAGACATTGTAAGTATGTTTCAGGGGATTACGTCGTGAATTTCATCAGCGGAACTGCAAACTTACAACTTCTCAAGTACATACTGCTGAAAGTGTTAAGAAATTTCACCACATCAGCCGAGTGTTTAGAAATTGTGGAGTAGTGTGTTTTGTTTGTGTTGTAAAGTGTAAAGCAGTTTCAGGGGTTAATTTTTAAGAGGTTTTTTACTTCTCGCACAGTTTCAGTAAATCCACGTAAAAAAACCTCTTAAAAAGAAAAATAATAATAATTTAGTTCCTTTTTTTAAGGGTCAGGACAAGACAGTCTCATCGGCCTGCGCCCTTTTTTACCTTTTATCTTTTATTTGTGTTTTTTGGGTTAATCTTTCAAGCATCAGTTTATTACAAGGTTGTTTGTCGTTGCGTGGCTGGTCTGGCTACAAATTTTGGACGGTTCTCCTGGTCACTTTGGTTGAAAAGCGAAATCGACTGTAGGACAGGCGCTGCAAATTTGAACCATTCTACTGTAATATTTCTTTCCATTGTTGTGATATTTCTGATGAAACCAAGCGTTTTTATATTTCATTTTGATAAAAACAAGTGTCGAGCCGGTTGCCTAACTCGGCCGTCTGCAGGCGCCTGCCTCCGTTATTGTAAAGCGTTTTTTTTTTTTTGTAAATTGGTTCATGCAAATTATCAGAGCATGCGAAATAGTGAACCTGTGAAATCAGCCAGACTGTCCAACTTGACGTCAGGAAATCTGCGAGACTTTCCGATAATTTACGAGTCTTAATCAAAACTGCCGTGAAATATCAATTAATTATTTGAGAATCGTTCTATTGAGCGACATAAGTGAGAATCGCTTGTGCAGTTTCTATAAAGTTGAACAAAATTATTTTATTTCGTAACATTTAATTTTTATATTTAATTATTTGAACTGAGATAAAATCTACTTATGCGAACTTGGTGAAGTTTTCTTCACTGAATTTCAACAAAAGCATTGCTGGAAAAATTGCTGCTTTGTCCCGAAACAAAATTATTCCAGTGACGTTGATTTGCAAAAGTTGTGCATTCCATAATTACGTTCAAATAACCCGCTCGAGCATAAATTTTGGGGAATTGTAAATAAATTCACTGAAAAATTGGCCAAATTAGGAAAGGAACTCGTGATAAAATAAATGCGTGGAGCGGGTTGCGTCACAAAGTGACCAGGTGCTCCTCAAAGCGATGGGGTGTGAGGAGCGGGGGACGAGGGGGGCCTTCCGTTAGCCTAGGCGAATGGGGTCGATCCCTGGCCTAAGGGTTGCGGATCTGGCGGAGGAGGGGGGCGCCTCGTAAAACCCCTTCGAAGCTCCATTGCATTCGCCAATGTTCCGAGCTGGTTTTGAGGGTTGGGCTTTATGGTTTATTTGCTTGCGCACGCTAAAGGTTGCATGGGGAATTAGGTGGATTAGGTGCATGTTTTCTTTTTTTCTTTGTTTCATTCTCTAAAATTTACTTTAGATCACTTTGGATCGTATCAAAGTGTGTCATTCTGAATAGTAGAATAAAAAAAAAAAAAACACATGATTTTTTTTATATTTTGAGACTCAAATATTATGGAAATGAAGATTCGGGCTTTTCCATGATCATCTCCTCTAGTATCAACTTCTTCAAACAAACTCAAATATTATGTCATAAATTTCAGTATTAATATCAATATTATCCTTTTTATTATATTTTGATCGTAAATCAGCTCTATAGTTGATGGTACTTTGTTTGACACTTAAATTCATCACACGTAATTGTAATTTGGGTCGAACTGAATTTTTTTTTCATCAGCCTTTGTCACAGTTAATGTAAATTCTGAATTGCGTCCGAGGACTGCGAGTGGCGCAGCCTTAAATCGCTCATCTAAAAACTAGGAACTGGTTCAAAGAAGCGTCAAATGCGTAGCTTTTTTCCTTTCTTGTGAACTGAGGCAAAATTAATATTGAAAATTTTCGTTTGAATCAAATCATAGATTTGAAGGCTTTTTAAAGTTATCAAAAAAATAAAATAGGCGTTTGAAATATAAAATTGAATCAAGTACAATTTTTTCTTATAATTTAACTGTTTTTTTGAAAAAAACTATTTGAATGAATATTTGAATTTGCAACTTTATGTATAATCTATTAAGATATAATAAATGATTTTTTTTTTTTAAATTAACCTGCGCAAACTATGCTCGCGAATCGAGATGGACTTCTGAGATAAATAGATAAGTTGGCTCTGCGGCTTGGCGATGAATCGCTAGAACGCAAAGAACGGAGTTCGCGCCCCCCAACGAGCCTCTGGAGGCGGACGTGGTGGCGTCCGGAAACTGGCCTGTATCAAAAAATATTTTCCCATTTCATTAATTTTGCTCACAATGAACAAATTCATTAAATTTGATATATATTGTTAGAGATGACTGTCTTGTTCTTGTAATTAATTTTTTAATGTAATAAAAAAAATTGGCCAGAGTTTTAATGGGGTTTGCGCCCTCAACGAGCCTCCGGAGGCCACCGTTTACTGCAGCAGAAGCTCCTCTCAGCCGTCCTTTCGCTCTTCTACCTGGTACGAGACTGCTATCACTTTTTAGACGGTCCCACCACCGTTCTATTGCGAAGGCCAACCAGTTGAGTTACTTTTTGCAATTTTGCTTTTGTTTGTTAGAACAACTATATTAAGTCCTATTTTACATCGATGTGTAATGAATCAAAAGTGATCAGTAATTAATAATATTGCCACAGTTTTTTGCGTCTTGCGTGTTTTAACTCCCGACGGTATAGTATAATATTTTATTTTATTAATTTCCCAAAACTATTAAATTGATTAGAAATAGTTTGTAATCATTGAAATTTTATAGCTTTAAAAAAAATTAATTTAATTTTTTTAAATTAACTTCATTTATTGAGATCATTGCTGTTTTTTTTAACCTCATTCATTTCGTGTCGTAAACTGTGTAGTATCAATTTCAGAGATTTTGCATTCATACATGGTTTTTAGAGAATGTAGCTTTCAGTCTAAGCCAAGCTCAAATTTCTTTATTAAAAATCAAAAATAAGAGTTAGATACCTGCAATAGGTCTCTCCTTAGGAACCGAGACTTGGCCGTTTCAAATATTTTCATGTCATTCAACGTTAAGTATGGCCAAATATATTCCATAAGTTGTGATTGGCTCATCAATTGCGAGTTAAAAGAGTGTCGTGGCGAGTGAGGACACAATTGGTAGTGTGGAAAAGGAGGTCGAGGCGCAAAAGTCGGAGCTTTAAACTCTTATATGCTTTGCAATTAAATAAAATGATATTTAATTTACATTAAAAATTATCATTTTAATTAAATACACACGGAAGGTGCTCGTAAATTAATTTATTAGCTCAATTTATCTCTCGTATCTCTAATCTTTCAACACAAATATACAACTTTTCTACTATCATTTTGGCTTTCGAAAAATTGGGTCGCAATTAAATTAAAAACCAAAAAACATTATTTGTTTTGATTCCCAACAGATAATTAAATAATTTGATTAAAATTATAACTCAAATACTGAATTTTATTTATATGTTCTGCAGCGTCTCGGTGAAAAGCAAAATATTGGCAAAGAGGAAGACAATCATGAGGTACATGTAGGCGCCGCAGCTGACCATGTCATTGATCTCGAAGGGGTGCGACTGCGCGTCCCCGATCAGCACGGACAGTCCCATGATGTTGAGCGTGGCGAGGGCGGTGGACAGGCTGTAGATGAACAGGTTGACCGCGTTGGTGGAGCCGATGATGGCCGTGATGAAGTTCAGGTTGGTCACCAGCAGCAGCAGCACGACGGTCAGACCGGCCAGGACGATCAGGTTGGGCTTGGAGGCGAGGGCGCCCTGGTTCACGCCAACCACCATCAAGGTGCACATCAGCAGGGCCACCGAGTACGAACCCAAGCTCGACTGGCGGCAAACCCAACTCAGCTCAACGGACGTGGCCAGCAGCATGGCCGTCAAGGCCAGGAGGTCAACGGAAAAGCTGGAAAATGTTTCATTGTGAAAATTTCAACATAGATTACAGATCAGACGCAATAAAAATGACTTTCAATTCAAGTTAAAGATAAAAGTAATGAATTTTAAAGTAAAAAAAAGAAGAATTTCTAACTATTAATTATTTAACTCAAATTAAAGGGAAGCTCCGTAATGGATCCCAATTTTGGGAAAGAATTCGTCAATTATAATAGAAATTAAAAATTATAACTTTATTATAAATATGTATATTTTAAAATTTGTTATCATTTGTAGTTATAGTTTAAACTGATATCACTGCAAAATGTACATGCAATTGGAATAATTTAATTTCATTTTTATTGTGTGAATTTATTTTTCTTAAAAATAACTTGTAAAAAAAAATAATAAATTAAAATATAGAATTTAATTTTGCACTTATCAAAATTAAATTATAAATCTTAATTATTTGCAAAAATTCAATTTATATGCTCACTTGAAATGAGGTCTGAGCAGAATGAAAGCGGCAAAGGAGCAAACAATGGTGGCCCTGATTGCCAATTTTACAAGCAGGTTGGATCTCAAAAAGGCTGTGTAGCTCGGAGGAGAAAACACCAGCGCCAGGACCAGGACAAGGGTGGCGCCCAGCAGGTAGACGCTCGTCTCATACACATGGTTGTTGTAAACATTTTCAACTGAAATGTCATCTTATTCAAATTCGGGAATTTAAAATTTCACAAAGTTAAATATACCAGCCGTGGCGGTCCATTCTTGCCAGGAGCCGGAGTTTGTCCGGTTTTCAGGGCCTGTTCTGGAGAGACGGGGGAAGGAGGGCAACTCGCCGACAAAAGAAACCCTGGACGTCCGTTTATCAAAGAGAGCCGACATCGTTTGAAAGTTCAACGATGCGTGCAAATCTGATGTAATTTTTTAACATTGTTGCAACAATTGATTTTTTTCTAATGAAATAAAACGCAGGAATTTTGAATTTGTGGATACATTTTATTAGAAAAGTTACCCTCTACACATTGTAATGATGTTGTCCTATTTAGAATAAAATTAAGATACACAATAAAATAAGATATATAATGGGCGTGATCATTTTAATAACCACCATATTCATGTTATAATTGCCTTATTTTCCTTCACCAAACAAATATTAACCATGTGTGTGTGTATGTGCGCGTCTCTTCGGTGATTGCACTTCAACTGACTTTTGATATATAGGTAAATTCTTAAAAACAGAACAGAGAGCATTTACAAAGAAATTCTCCGTTGCGGCTAATTTCAGCATTATTGCTTATATAGTTGTTTGGGGGGCTTAACAGAATAAAATAACATAACAGCATATAACAGCAGTGATAAAATCGTTCATAGTCAACAACTGGGAGTACTATTTACATCCTGGTGGTCACTGGTGGTTAAGTACTGTACAGAAAAAAAAAGTTTTCAAGGGAATTCAAATTCCCTGGCCGAATCAATTTAAGTATCATATAAATCGCTAGGCTGATGTTGCTACTTATGCCAAAATTATACTCAAAGTTGCACACTTGAGGTTGATCACACAAAATTTCCCACCAGCCTGGCACAAATATCTTCTTATTTTTTTGTCTAACACTAAGTGAGCACATCGTATCATCATTAGGGCTAAAAAAATATTAATTAACAGACTTTGGGATAAAATACAATATTGCTAGGCTGCTGCCGGGGCATGGGGACCCTGAGGGTTGCATAATTATGTACAAGGCGCCCCGCTCAGCGCATGTGACCTACCATCACACTAATTCGTTCTTTCCCGCGCACTCAACCCAATCATATAATATATTTTCATCGAATTCATCTCACACAACTGAGGCGAATCTCTCTGCTTTTATTATTAATATATTAATAAAAAAAAAAGATTCTGCATAACTTAAGAGGGCTCTACTTCATCCTATTGATGATGATGTCCGCGGCGGTGACCAACGCCTTCTGGAATGGCGATTCGGCCAGCGAATTAGCCAGTCGGGTCGCTTCCATGTTGTACTTGCGCGCCAGGAAGCGCGTCTGCTCCAGGCCGTTGGACTTGTGCACCAGTTCGAAGGCCCTTTCCGCATCTCCAGGCTCCTCGAAGCGGCGCATGATCATCGGGTTCAACTCGGGGTACTGAGAAAGATTTAAGTTAAATTAATATTTTCAAATACAAATAAATTTAATCTGTTTCTTAATTCTCTAAAAAATATCACATTTTCCCTTCTAATTGACGGACTATTAATGAAACATTCATTATAAATAAATAATATTTAATGAAATAATTAATTACAACGTATTTTCCTAAAAATTGGGTTCCATTGCCGAGCTTTAATTTAATTTGAATTCACTTTTAATTAATTAATTGAATAAATTTTGAGTTTACCTTTTCACAAGCAAAGAGGACGGGTGCAGTGGCCAAGCCTGCCTTGAGGTCGTTCATGGCAGGTTTGCCGAGGGTTTCTGTGTTACTGATGAAGTCGATTAAGTCGTCCACAAGCTGGAACGCCAACCCAACGTTTCTGCCGTACTGAAAGGCGACATCTGAGATGGACTCGTCACCACCGGCGAGCATCACAACCTGAGAAATTTGATTTGGTTTAATTTACGTTTATTAAATATGTTTCAAAAACTAATGCAGTCATAAATATTTATACAAAATTCAAATCATATTTCAGAATAATTTAAAAACATACTTATTTATGACCAAAATTGCAGGTTTTTTATTATTATTAATTAGAATTTTTAATTTCTTCTTAAAATGTTAAATATGTTATTTCTTAAATATTTTGCAGCTTCATTGGTAAAACATTATACAACTGCTTTACTTGTTTAATTATCCCTAAATTTTCCTACAATTTGAAGTTAGATTAACATTTTAATTCAATCTCTAAAAAATAATGTTTTGTTAATTCCATCAAAAAGTCCGTACATTGGTGTGAAGAGATTTTTTGATAATAGGATCAGTCATGTAAATGTAGAGGCGAAAACATTTTGGATTTTGGTAAAGAAGCTTACAGCTTTCAGTGAGTTGGCGGTCAGACTGGCCGTTTTGCGGTAGGTCTTGGTGAGGTAGTGGGCGAACCTCTCATTCTCAGTCTCCTTTGAGCCCAACTGCATAAACTCGCCCTGCACGAGGTCAGTGAGCACCTAAAATTTTATTAGAGAAAATAATTTCCATTCAAGATGAACGTCATTTCACGACTTACCATACTGAGGACTTGGGTAACATCTGGGTTTCTGAGACGGGCGATCATCTGGGAGGCCACGGACAAAATAAAGTCTCCAGCGATCGTCACCTGTGAGCAACCATAAAAAATGAAAGGTCAGGTCAGGTGTGCACGTGAATTTTTAGTTAACTCTTTTAAACTCGGGTCAAGGCTCGCTAAGTAATTTCTTTTGTCATGTTGTTGACAACAAATCTTTATTGGGCGTTGGATTAGACAATAATATATTAAAACCTTTGGGTGTTATAGTCCTTCGATGACTTGCAAAAGGGAATCCCGTAGAATGGAGCAGAGACAAAGGATTTGGGCTCTGCTTTGAAGGCTGATGGGAGGATCAGAGACAAAGAAACAAAGAGAGCCGCCGGTGAGACAAAAAAATTCTATGAGGTCACTCACAAGTGCATACTTTTCCATAACACGCAGTTGCGGTCAATTTTTTATGTATACATTGTTGGCCTCAACAAATTTCAGTAAAAATTTTTATGTTTTAAATCGGCTTGATTTAAGTGATTTTCTAATGCGAAATTAAAAGAACCTGCTCAAATTTATTATGGTAAAACAGTTTCTGAGTGGAGGTACCGAGAATTCTTAATTTTGACGGAAATGGGAGCAGACGAAGCTCTTTTTGAGAGCAAGCCAATCACTCTAGTTTTATAACAACATATTGCAATCGGCCATTGTATCTTTCGAGTTGCTGGTTGCAAGCTTCGGGGAAACGCGCAATGTAGAAAGCCGCAAGTGTGCCACCGTTGAAAACGGTTAATTTGGTTTTTAACTCTGATTTTTGGCTAATTACGAGATCAGACAGATTTTATGGCTGGTTTTAACGGGATTAAAAAAATACGTCGAACAAACGAAGAAACATTTTTATTTCAATTAAAACAGGGGACGCTTAAAAGTTAATAAATTTTCTAAATTATTTTGTTCATTTTCAGTAAATAATCCACAACTTTCCCTATTTTGGTGCAATAATGATTTGAATCTCTCATTTGCCAAAAAATATAAAAAGGCATGAGATGGTAAAAGTTGTGAATCTACTTGACCCATTTTGCGGAAGATCCATCGTTTTGTGACCCCTCCATTAGCCATTTGCGAGAGTGGTACAAAATAATAGGGCCCTTTGACCTCTGGATCCACGCACCTCACCATTAAGGAATGTCATAAAAAACTTTCTTTGTCAATTAAATATATATTGATTTTTTATCCATCGATCACTACAAAAAAGTTTCTGTTTCCGTCTCCGAGGAATATATTAAAATGTTTTTTAAGGTTGGGTTGAATGACAGTATTTTGTAAACTAAAGATAGATGAGTGTGTGCCATTCACAAACAGCCCGTCTGTGGGTCAAGTTGTGCAAATTCCTAAGGCAAACAGCGAGCGGAGAAGACATTTGGAGCGAGTTTTCTCCGCCGATTGACCCATTCTGGTCTGCTGCTGGAAAAGAGCGAGCGGAGTGTGATTTTTGAATGAATGAGGTGCTCGCCCGCGGCCAGTCCACACCTATAGCTGTGTGCCAATATTTACCGCACACATGCAGGCAGCACGTGATGCAATCGCCCCCCAAAGTGGACCGATGCATAATTAAAATGTGCTCATCCAAAAATAAAAGTGCAGAATTTTACCAAAATTTTAAATTCACTTTCACACTGCAAGAAAAATCCGACCGGTTTTCCTTGCTCTATAAAATGCAGTTTTTTTGTACCATCAAGGTGCGTATTGCACCTTGATTACCTTAAGATTTAGATTATTACTTAATTGATGGCAGCAGACAAATTGGGCGCGTCGAGTCAATTGGGTCAGCGGGCGGAATTTGCATGACAACAAAACGCACGTACTTTGCGGCGAATGTTGCAAATCTAAAGTACCTCAGATCAGGTTTGGTGACGTTGCAATAATAAAAAAAAATCTAGTCTGGAATTCGGTTTGTCAATTTAATGGAAGGGAGAGTAATGCTGATTTTCCCAGCCAATTAAAAATTAAAAAAATTCTCGTTTGTAATTTTTTTTCATCTGATTGGAAATCTCAAAAGTATTTAATTTACAATCGAGTTCTACTCTTTAAACTTTACTGAAACCAGGTAGTTTTATTTTCTACATAATTAAAATTGAAGAAAAATTGCATTCATTTTATATTAAGAAAAAAAAACATAAAATTCTCATTTTATTTTTGATTATAAGTAGTGCACTCAAGGAACCAAAGGGAAATCAGGCTAAAATAATTAATAAGAATATTTTCACTTTCAAGTCACGCTCCATTTCACTCCAGACGCATTTGTGACACTTGGAAATATTAAAAAAAATCGGCACAAGGGCAGGTGTTGGATTTGACGCAGTTTTTTTTTTAAAGTTGAAGAAGGACTCGATTGTGCAATTTGTGTGTGTATCTCTATAATTTCCACGTTTGGAACATAATTCCACGTTTTTCCGTGAAGAGTCTCTTATTTTTATACTTACAGTGCGTCCTGAGGCGTAAAACACGATTAAAGAGAGAGCACAAGTTCAAGGATGCACTTTGGTCTTGTTTAAAATCAAACAATTCTAATCTTTATAGATTCCATTTGGTTCACTCTCGGTTTCATGGATTTGAATATTTAAACACGCGTTTCTGAGCACATCAAAAGTCTCCTCGGGCATCTGACTTGAGTGAGAACTTTCCTGTCGGAGAAAAAACTTTCACACATATCGTGGCGAGTGAGTCCAAAATTATCGCTGGTCCACATTTGATCAGTCGATTTGCATCAATTCCCTGCCGTTTCCACGAAATAACTCAAGGTGGTCCCTCCCAATTGTGTATGCAATTAAAATTTTCAACGCGATTTTTGTCTCCAAGGTCTTGATGCAATCTTCGTTTGCAATTTTATGAAGTACAAAGCGGAGACGTTAAAAGAAATAACAGCTCGAGGTCACAATTACAAACTGAATTGAAGCGAAAAACGCTTAAAAAATAAAAATAAAAAATAAAAACACGGAAATAGAGAGTGGCAAAATGTAACAAAGGAATAAAAGGAACAGGAAATTAGAGACATAAAAGATAAAAAAATTAAATAAATAAAATGGGAATCGAGCGTTCTTTATAACAAGGCCACAAATGTATGTTTAATTCTAGAAAAAATATTATTTTTATTTTTTTTAAATCCATTACTGATTTAAGATTTGACGATTTGATTTTTTTACGTATTTTGTATTTTAATAGTTCCCTTTTTTCATCTGCCTTCAAATAGATGATGAATCGAGCCATTAATAATACACATTAACAAAAGCCGACAGTGTCCCTGATTCTCAATTGGGCTCTATAAAAAGCGGTACTTTTTTTGTCTGTTAAGAAATGCGTCTGGTCGTGCATCATCGAGGCGCAGCATCCGAGAGCTAGACTGCATTTCCCCGCCTAAGGGACCATAATAGTCAAAAGGGGGGAGCGGATCGAGCCAGCTACCTGCATACCTGCGTCCGAGAGATGCATCTCTCACGCAGACCTTTGATAAATTTTCTAATCAGGCCGACCGAAGGAAAAAAATACGCTTTCGTCGAAAAAGAAGCGAAATTGACAAAAAGTGAAAGGGCTTCTCATGCAAATCGAGCCACAGAAACAAACAGCACGCACGCTTCCATTGATGATTCGCAATTGTTGCCTCATTGTTGAGGTGCATCGCACAGAGAAAGTTATAAATCTGGCAACAATCAGAAATAATAATCTAAAAAGGGTAAATGTTTTTTTTTTAAAATCGATTTCTGTTAAAAACTGTTTGCCGCTTTGCGGTTGAACTTTGTTTCTGATGGGCTTGCATTGTGTGCCACTTTTAGAGGAGGAAAGAAATTGTTGCTTGATCGATTCTCAATAAATGCATTTAAAGTTGTAAAAAAAATCTCTTCTCCCTTTTTTATTCACATTTATGGCAGCAACTTTCAAGATTATTTTTAAGCAAAAAAAATAAACGTTTGAAAAATATCTTTATTTATTTTCAATAATAATTAATTTAAATTGTCAAAATATAAATTTTAATTTTCAGGTATTAATTTAATTCAAATTATCCGCTGGGCAATGTTATCACCTTTTGACAACCTTTGAATTGATTGGCTTGAGTGTGACGTTGCACTTTCGCGAATTGTCAGCACAGAGTGAATGCACCGCATAACACAACAAAATCGTTGTTACACAGTCTGCAGTCTCGCACCGAATTGAGACAACTTTTACTTTCATAATCGCGGTAAAACGGCTATACTTAAGCACCCTTTACTACAATTTTTAAGCGGCAAATTAGTTATTAACGAGCCTGATTGCATATTTGTTTTTACTTTTTCAATAATTGCAAGTTTTTACGCTCCAACCGCTCGCCTTGGAGGTCGCTTGGGACACTACTTTCCTTGTTCGGCAAAATTGGCCCAGCATTGTTCAGGCCGCATTAGCGCACCGAGCATGAATGACAATTGTCAAAAATAAATTCATTTGTCTGGGTTGTTTCCTTTCTCTGTGGTTTACGCTCAATTGAAAGCGAATTGTTCAATTGTGAAACTTTGAGGAAAATAAATAAAATGACTTAAATTTATATTTTTACAAGTAATTCTTTCTTGGAAATTAGTCATGATTGATTTGAAAAAGTTTTTTCTAGGCAAACTGTGTAAAATAAGATAAAATTCTAAAACTTCATTTCAATGTCAACATTAAAAATATAATATTTATTTATTGGTAAATTTCAATGTTTAATTTTTAAAATACTAAAATAAAAATAAACTTTTGTAATTCATTTTAACAGTATCTATATTCATAGCTGTTTCTTCAATCAACTTTAGGTATAAAAAACGTTTAAACCTGTTATTGAACACAAAAATGATCAACAGGTAAAAAAGGCCTAAGAAAGGGTTCTTTTGTGGCCGCTGAACAAATTCCTAAGGGGATGAAAATCGCCCGAGGCGCGTCCTTGACTCGCTCTTTACTCTTTATCTCTGAAGGCGGACGTTGCATCATCGTAGGAGGGAGAGATTTTATTTTTTCCTCTGAATTAGGATGTAAACGGCTCGTTGGCCAGCTGAGCAAATGAAGTGTGGCGCAATTAGCGGCGCCCGCAATAAAACTGCGGACCAGTTGAGCCGGTGCGACTTGATTCAAGTAAAAGTTTCAAATTGGAGAATTGCTCCGCCTACCTTCTTGTGGTCCCAGAGCGCGGGGGCGCTGGGCTTGCCTCGCCGCATGTCGGCCTGGTCTATCACATCGTCGTGCACCAGAGAGGCTGTGTGGATCATCTCAGCAATCATTGCAACACTTCTTTGTGCTGGTAGAAGTTTTCTGCAAAATTTCGTCAGCTTAAAATATTGAAATTTGTGAACAAAAAACTATTCATTTGATCTAATTCAATTGTTGTAAAATAAACACAATTGAAATAATGAAAATTAATTTAATATAAAAAAGAAATGTAAATTTGACACAATAATTTATTGTAATCTTTTCAGTAAAATTATTCATATTTTTGCTCTTATTGTGCTTTTCAAACTGTTCAAAGTTTTTTTTCAATTAATTTTAATTGAAAAATTTATTTTTTCCCTGTAACTAGTGGTTAATTATTTTCAACTTACCCATTGTGAACGTCCAAGTGACAATTGACTGCTCTGGCCATGAGGATGTTCAGCATCGGCCTAAACGCCTTGCCCTGCCCGTCGAAATAATATGTGGAAATGGTCTGGAGTAACTTTTGATTTGTGTTTATGATGAGCTCCTGCAACCACAGAAAATAAAGTTGAACTTTTTCACAACCTCTGAATGAACAAATCCTAAATTATTAATCGCAAGTGCGCTAATTAGACGAAAACCAACAAGCGCGTGTGCTGATAATTGCGCCCTTTATTTTTCTCCTCATCAAACTTTCACCCGAGAGTAAAACGGTGGAATACGAGTCTTTAATAAAGTGAAATCACGATTGAAACATAAGGCCAATCATCATCAGCACACTAAGGATCCTGTTTCGATTCCCCCAGCCGGCCTCGCTTTCGTCTAATTACATAAGTGCGCAGGCCTCTTTTTAAAAACATGCTCCGCTGAACCGACCGCAGCAGACAAAAATATTAATTCAGGAAGGAGGGATCAATTACTGGGCCAAAATTATCACCGCCTAATTCGATCAAGTGCCTCATTAATCTGCTCGTTGACCGGAAACAAGAAGATTTTGTAATTTGTATAAATTTTACGCTCTTTAGCTAGTAAAAATTTTAAAATATATGCAGTCAGAACTAATTAACTATTTAGTGTTTACCGAATTTTTTGTTAATTGAAAAATTTCCATGCAATATCTGTTTACTACAACCCCCTTTTCTAATAATTCAATTTGTATCGTTGGAACAAATAGAATTATAAATTTTTTTACTATTATATTCCTCCTCCCTTTATTTTCTCAGATTTCATGACAATTATTATTATTTAGAAAAAAAGATCTATTGTTGTTTGACATTTCCAAGGAATAAAATAAATAGTTTAAAAAAACATTCAAACTCTGTTTAAATAAGACAGATTTATAAAAAAAAATGGAAAAATAGGAAAAAAACCTCTTTTGCATTCATGAAATGTCCACTGATGTTCTTCTTGTGAAAATTGTACTGACCTGCCGCATGTCGGCGTAGACCTCCTTGAGGTCATCCTCCAGAAGGCGGTAGGGGTCGACGGGGGTGTGGTCCTCGCGGGGCAGGGAGCCAGGGTGCTGGGTGTGCATGGTGCCCAGGGCCCTCTTGGCCGTGTAGCTCTGCTGTATGCTGGAGGCCGACGGCACCAACGGCGCCGCCGCCGACGTCGATGAACTATTGCTACATGCTTGTGTCTGCAAACAAACGGGCAATCAACAATTAGACTTGGTTTTCAAAATATTATTCAAAAGATTCTTCATCATTAAATTTAATAATAGAAAAGAATGTGCTGCACAGTGGTATAAATAATTTTTTCTTTGAATTTGTTTCATTCTTTTTAAATTCTAAATTCTTCCAGACAATTTGATTGGAAATTTCTTTTCAAATGAAACAAATCATTTTTAATTATTTATTATATATGAGGGATTTGGCAAGTTATGTAAGAGGTTGAAATTTTTACTATACGATCGTTCATTTCCGGAGCGGATGTTTTTACTTTTTAATCACTAGCTGCGATAATTTTATAAATTTTAACCATTTTTCATTATTCATACGATTTCATGTATCAACCTGCTAGGCGAATCGTCCAATTTGCAATTCAACAGAATCACGGAACAAGAAAATGCGAAAAAAAGACGAGTATAAAAATGCTCATAAATTATGAGTCAAACTGAAATGAATTTCAAATTTTATTTCTTATCTGATGGCTAATTAGGAAATTAAATACGTGTGCGAATCTCGATCTCATTAAAATAATAGTAATGAATGAGCGAGTGGCGCGCGCGCGCGACATGAATGAACGACGGCGGGAATAATAGAGCGGCGCTAACTACACAAAAGCCACTTTTTATTGCCTCATTAATCTAGATAATGCAGCTGGCAATGCGTGAGCATTTTGCAAAACAGGTTTGCCCCGCGCGCGGGAATGCATTTGCACGCACAACAATGCTCGCAGTTTCGCGAGCGCTTTTCATTATTCAAATCAGAAATAAAAAGGCGGAGGTCAAAAGTCGGAGGCGAGTTGGCAAACGTTTTTTGCTGTCAAGGTGAGCGCCTAACTTTTTTATTTGTGCCAAATTCTCTAATTCCATTAATTTTTTAATAAACAAAGCTTTGAATGCACAAATGATTCCTACAATATTTCACAATGTTTCTGATTTATTTGAGAAATGAAGCCTTTAAGCCTGTCTCGCCAAGAACACTTCACTTGTTGCTTTTGGCACTTTTGTCATGCCAATTGTAATTGGAGGCCATCTGTCCACGACAGACTGCAATTTGTTCACAGAAAAAAGAGGTAAAACGTGCAGATGTTGCATGAATAAGAAATGAAAGCGGCGAGAATAAATGGACTGAGGCGGTATAATGTAATGGTGTTAAGGTAGGCGAGTGCAGAATTTGTTTCTAATCTTAGCCGACACCGAAATTTATGCTGCCTGTGAGTTATGGTAATGTATTTTTTTGAAAAACTGCACCTCCTACATCAGCCCGAAGCGATTGGTGAAATTTTTTATGTCAATTTTTATAAGGAGGTCGCAAATCCCTGATCAGAATTTTATGCGAATTAATTTGCGCCCCACCCTGAAAAGAAACTATGAAATTTCTCGGTCTATTTTCCTTTTCGTCCGCAGGGCTAGGCCGAGATTAGATCTTTGAGAGGATGTAACAATTAAAAGTGGTAATTAGCTCCGAGATGGGGACTTTCACTGCGCATTCTTGCGGCCGAGAGATGCACCTGACTGGTGTGGTGCGTCAATTAGGTTTTTAACATCGAAGGTTTGGGCCCAGAGTGCTCAAAGTGGGTTACCCTTTACTGCTAATCAACGGCGCGCGAGAGAGACAGAGAAAGTCCCCTCTCTGCATCCAGAGAAGTAAGGAAGCAAAAGAAAGATGGTGGAGAAGAAAGAAGAAGACCAACTACTTCTCTAGGAGATCCGAGAGAAGAGGGCCTTGAATTCCTTTCTCACGCATTTTTCTCGGCGAGACGCGCCTGTCATTTCACCTTTCTTTCTTCCTTCCTTGTTTTCTGTTTTCTTAAGTTGGTAAAAGAGTTGAGTAACCGATTTTATATGACAGTTGATTGACAGCAATTTTGTAATTCTGATTTCAACCTTGGAGATTAATTTGGAAAGGGCTTTTCTAATTGTAATCGTTGAACAATTTTAATGAAGTGAAGAAATTATAAACACTTTTTGATATAAAAGTTTTAAAATAAGAAAATACGGCAAAACAAATTCAAGAAGATTAACTTTAGTTAAAAATGGAATAAAATTTATTTACTATAATAATTATTGATGATTCATAGGATTATAAGGGGAATTCTTGAGTTATTTTTATTATTATTAGTTGTTTATTTGTCCAAATTGTTTACATTAAATTTTTGAAAACAATTGATTTTTAAAAAATTGTTGGACAAAACGGCATCACCAACTAGCAAGAATTTTTCTAAAACTTCCGAGATCGAAAAGACCCCATCCACCGCAGTGAGCCTCATTTTTTTTTTTTTTTTTTTTTTTTTTTTTTTTTTTTGCAAAAAAGCATGCATTTCTGGAATCACAAGATTTCCAATTATAGGAATAATACTAACAATAAGATAAACATAATGGAAAAAAATGATAAACATTTGCATTTGTGTTTTAAGAGTTTATTTTTTTAAATCGTGTTGATTTACTTTTTATGATCTTTAAATATTCCAGGCCATAATTAAATTCAATTTATGTGCTAAAACTGGTCTGGTCCTAATGACTAGCCTGTCTATAAATTGTTTCAACACGTGTGTGCTCGAATCGCTGGAAAAATTCAGATTAATCCGGCGGCTTTACAAGGAAGTGCGCGCGCGATCAAGGCCCTGGGGTTAAACGTTAGAATCTTGTAATCCGAGCCGTTTCAGCACAAACTTTCTAACTCGCGCAGAGTCTCATTTTCTCCGTCCTTCATCCTCCACGCACATACACACGAATTTGTTGTATTTATTTATGAGCAGCTTCACTGCCAATGCCGCTCCGAATGCACCCAGATCGCCTGGCTGCGTTTCCACGATAATGAGGTCAAGTTGGTCAGCTCTCAGGGCGTGCCGAAAGTGGCCAAATATAATTGAATAATAATTATTGCAACTCAAACCGAATCGCACGCAAATCATTTTGCAACAACCACCAAAGATTGATTTTTTACAACAGAAAAAAGCAAATATTATTTTAAAGGTTAAAAATAATAATTTTTTTCTGATAATTACTTTATGCTCGTTGCTCAAACTTTTGGCATTTTCTCACAGCCCGGCGCAAAAGGCTAACCTCGAGCGAGAAACACGTTTTCCAAAGCGAAATTATTGAGGTCCAGTTCCCACTGGAAACGAAATAGATTTCTCTTTCATGCACATCGATTTGTCGTGAGGCGCAATTAAAGAGGATTAACTAACAATTAATAGCGATGATGCAGAGATGCTAAGGGCTCTCGGCGGATTAGAAAGTGCAGGAATGGCGAAGAGTAAATATTTCGCATTTCGCTTCGGCGGCTGCGAATATAAGTGGGCAGCAGCAGGATGTCTCAAGGATCGCGTTGAATTATTCACGTCATACGCCACATTATTCTGTTGGCAGCAGTTGCGCAGGCAAATTTGGAGCCAAAATTATGCACCGCGTCCGTGACCAGTGGCACGTGAAGCATAATATATACACGGTTCTCTTCAATTTGTACACATTCCAACACATTTTGACGTACCTGTCTGCACTACAAGATGATGGGTGGGTCCAAACACAAGAGAATCGATTCTTGCAGCGATTCTCGAGAAGTGATTCTCACGCAACGATTCTCGAGGAACGTTTCTGCCATTGGAAAACCACCACAGAATCGTTCCTTGAGAATCCTTGCGCGAGAATCACTTCTCGAGAATCGCTGCAAGAATCGATTCTCTCATATTCAGACCCACCCAATATGGGACAAGGATTGATGATTGGACATTTTAGATTAAAATTTATACTGTTTTTTTTTTTTTTTTTACTTTAAGCATTACAATTATTCCTTTTTTTTAATTAAAAAAAGAATGTAATTTTTTTTATAATATCTATTTGTTTGGCATTGATGAAAAAGGCGGGAATGAATACTTCGAGCGCGAAATTAAATTGTTACCTTTTGACGATAAAATTGAATTAAAAATTGCCAATTTCTTGCCGTTCAATTACCAAGTTTAATTACACCTTTCGTAAACCCACGCCAAACGTTAATTGGTTTTTGTTTCAATGAAAAAATACAGTAATATTCTCTTTCAAAATTGGCAAGCCGCAGATTTCTCTCCTTAAAGGTAAATACAAACCATTAAGCAAAGCTTCATTCCGCGGCATTTCTTCTGAATCAAACTTATCAAATCAGACTTGTGTTCTCGTCTGCAGAAAGAATTTCGGCAATGATGAAGCAACTTAGGCATTAAATTTTATTGCCTCTAATTATGTGGAATATAAAATTGATTCAGTTGGGTGCGTGAATTATTGCGGTGCTCACGGATATGTAGATAGAAAGTGAATTTCTGGGCATTGTGCGTGTTTGCATTCCGAGTCGCAGGATGAGTGAGTGTATGTTGGGTGTGTTTGCGAGATGGTTGGCCGCCAGTGAAAGTCACCAAGTCGGAAACCTGCAGCCGACGACGCACCTGTCTCCGGCTCGCGCTTCTGGACCATCATCGTGATTCCGCTCAAAAAGGGAACACGCGTCTTCTGACAAATGATCAACAGCTCTGAATCACTCTCCAATTCATAATGATTTCACAAATTGATTGATTGATAGATTTTTCTATCCGGAAACTAGAACAATTTCGGAGGCAAAATACCGACTTGATCAATTTACAAGTTTCAATTGGGTCAAATTATTCGTGTTACCGGTTCAGAATTTTTATGACTTCATATTGCAGCAGACAACCTCTCTTAATCAAGTCTTTCCACACGCGTAATTCGCCAAATTTAATATTCTCCTTTCTCCGAATGTAACGCGCACTTTTCTCCATTATTTGTTAAACAGATTTTTCGTCACAAAGGTCGCAGGTATTATTGCTAATCGAAAGTGAGAAGAAATTTTGTCTTATAATTTTTTTCCCAGCTCAGGATGGACCGCCCATGTGACATAACTCGCGCGCGCACAAATTAGGAGCGAGTTTCTTTCTCTTCTCGAGTGAAATCTGGCGGCGGGGATAAAACAGATAGCTCCATAA